TTTGGCCATTTTTCCTTGATATTTGTCTAAGGGCTGCTGTGAAACTGCAAGGCAACAAACAAAGTTTATCTTGGGTGCGTTGTCACTATAGACAAACAAGAAATGGCGGCAGAGGAGATGCCAATGCACCAATGCAACTGGGCTTAACTGCCATAAAGAGGTCCAATTTATTTAGGACATTTGTGCACAAAAAGAAGGGTGCTCAATTTTTTGCACTTTCTCAGCCTGTGGACCTTTTGGTGGCGGTCCAGCTCAGTTGCATTGGTGTGCAGGTCTCCTCTGCTATCCTTCCTTGATATTCATGCCATAAGCAAACATACTTAAATAACTATGCAGTTAAATGCTTTGTTTTTTGCCTGTTTTGGGCCAAGTTTATCAAAACAGCACATTTCAGAGGCAAAGGCAATAATTGTGTTTTTGTTTCTGGGCTGCAGCCCACGGACAAATTCATAGCCCACTATTAAAAGTCCAGTTAGGAACGACATGGATCAGAGATTTGTGGCTGTGTTTAATATATATTGGGGAGGATGTGTCCCCTAATATATATTGTAATTACTGCCTTGTTAGTTCCCATCATCTACACAAGCTGTCCACTAGACCAGAGTGTGTTTTGACAGAATATATAAGCTGCTCTATAATGCCCGATAGTTTTTCCACTGACATCCATCAATAAGGACTGAGAGTTACAAGGAAATGGAATTTACTGCTAATGCACAAGTATTCAAACATGAAACTCTGTGAAACCAATTTAACAGAACTCATTAATCTCATCATTGATCACAACTATTGCTTCCTCTTGAAGACACGAGGCGGGTTAATAAGAATTGATCTGGAGGAAGCATCCTGGGTTTCAGCGTGAGAGAATTGCTGCCATAAAACATAAAGTCATTACAGTCCATCAGGTTCATTTGTCTCCTCTGTGAGCTTATGAGCAAACACCCTTAAGGGAGGCTCGTTCTGCCACATTAAACCTGTACTTAAAGCAGCTATAATCAATATCTGTATATTAACAATTGATCATATGACTGCTTGTATGTGTAGTGAGGAGCCTGCTGAGAGTTATTACCCAGCTCTGCAGCTCTCATCAGCTCTGCAGAGCTTTTAAACACCTCTCTGTTCATTGTTGTGTTTCTGTCCTGCTGCTTTACTGTTAGGAGACAGACACAGTTAGCGGCTAGCTGGTGAACACAGTGGATCATTTAGCAGCTAAAGAGGCAGATATTTCCCCTCAGGAGTTTAGATGAGATCAAAAAGGGGAAGGGAATGTACAGTCAGGAAAGCTTTTCTAAAGTGTATTTTAGAGTGGCCTTTTATTGTGTCGAGCCCAGGGCACACCTGTGTGGTAACGATGCAGCTCAATCAGCATCTTGACTTGCCACACCTGCCAGGTGGATCATCTTGGAAAAGGTAGAGGTGCTGACTTAAGGAGGAAATCAGGTCAGCTGAATCAGTGATCTCTTTTAAATCCCTTCTTAAAACATGCATTTATCGGAGTGCCTTTGAGTTTTCAATTCATTTAACTGTCTTTTAGTTCTTCAGTTTTTATACACTTAAGTGTTTAATCAGGTCTTTTAAAAGTTTTTGTTTTCATGTCTTGTCTGTCTTTAATGTGTAAAGCATTTTGTAATTCTCTTTTGAAAAGTGCTTTATAAATAAAGATTATTAATATTATTACTATTATATCATTATTAAATGGATTCAAAAATGTGTGCATAAATGTTTTCAATTCATTAAAAATGGTAGCAAAAATAAAAGTGTTGCATTTATATTTTTCTTCAGTCTTTGATGCTGTTTACACGTTGCCGGCTATTTTCATAAACTGACATTTCACCGTCTCCGTTTTCAAAAAGATCTTCGTTTACACTTACCCGTGTATATATACACAAGAGCATGTCAAACCTGTAGGTGGCAGTGTAACGAGAAGCTCAAGCCTTCCATGTATCCATTGTCACCATAGCAACATAGGTCGCACTTTTGACACAGGCGCAAGTTCCGGCGCATACTGTGACGTTGGCTGCCTATAACTCTGTTTATCTCCGTTTATCTCAGTTTACATGCAAACGCGCAACCGGAGTTTTCCAAAATCTCCACTCTGGCCGGAGTTTTTAGAAAGACTCGTTTTCAGAAGAGAAATCTCCGTTTGCGTGTAAACGAAGGGCACAAACGAAGGAAGATGTCTCCGTTTATCAAAATCATCATGTACGTGTAAACGGCCTCTTCAGGAGGAAATCAGGTCAGCTGAATCAGTGATCTCTTTTAAATCCCTTCTTAAAACATGCATTTATCGGAGTGCCTTTGAGTTTTCAATTCATTTAACTGTCTTTTAGTTCTTCCGTTTTTATACACTTAAGTGTTTTTATCAGGTCTTTTAAAAGTTTTTGTTTTCATGTCTTGTCTGTTTTAATTTTTGATGTGTAAAACATTTTGTAACTCTCTTTTGAAAAGTGCTTTATAAATGAAGATTATTAATATTATTACTATTATATCATTATTAAATGGACTCAAAAATGTGTGCATAAATGTTTTCAATTCATTAAAAATGGGAGCAAAAACAAAAAATATTTTTGTTCAGTCTTTATCTCAGAAAGCCACGCAGCAACTGCACCTGCATCAGCTGATTGTTACGACCTCTTGAAGAGAGTAGGGTTGCAGAGAAAAAAAACATACTGGTTTTAAGGCAAACCTTGATATAAAAGTTGACAGTTATCATACTGTGTACATTAGCTTATCTAGGATATTGAAAACAAACCATGCAACTGGATGCTGAATCTCTGAATCTTTTGATTATAGTAATAAAATGTTTCATCAACCAACAGTAACCCTTCTGTTTTCATTCCTTCAAGGGTCATTCTGACTGATAATAATATAAATCATGTAATACCATGATACTGTGAAACCATGATATTTTCTGAGAAGGTTATCGCACTGTGAAAATCTCATATCATAGCCAAAAAAAAGTTATAATTTGGCAAGTTGTGTTAAGACCACCTGATGAACTGATAACCAATATTTATTCTCCTTTTAGCTCTGGTTTGGTCTTCACCACCTCGAGAAAAATATCGTACCCCTTCATTGCTATGATTCACCAAGTGGGCCATTGTCTTTATAATGACGGGATTTATAGGTCGTTCAGCTCAGGATATTTCTCAACAGCGAGTCTCTTCTCATCCATTCTTAGTCTCAAACGAGACACAGTAACAGCTACAGAGCTCACTTTATGCATCCATGGTGAGGAGAGGAGTCGAGCTGCTGTAGGAGCAGAGAAAAGGGGCTGCTAAAGGAACCTGTATGTACAAGCAGACAGCAAGTGGGGGAAAAATGAATTTAATCCTGGGAGCAGTCAGGCTGGAAATAGGACAGTGGGGCGAAGTGCCAAGGGGTGGCGCATCCAGGAGCACCAACACGCATCTAACCGCTGCTGTTGTGGGGTCGTACATTGAAAATAAAAGGGGTGTATTTGTTGACGCATGTGTTTTGGCCTTAAAAAGGCTGCTTTCAGACCTAGAGTCGTCTTGCTTTGGTCTGAATCAGGGACTTATTTTGTCACAAAGTTGTATAATTACCTAGAGTTGGTTCGTGTTCTCACGGCAGCATTTACAAGCGGACCAGATCAAATGCCTTGTGTGAGAAAGCTGCTCTTGATTGGTCAGAATTTCCATGTGGGAAAAATCCAGGAAGTAAAGCAAACGTTGAAGAAGAGTACACTTGCAAGATAAATGTGACTCTTTCTAATGTCACAATGGAGGTACAACTACGCAGGTTGATTTTAGCGCTGCTCATCGTGGACTATATTGCTGTCATTGTTCATTTTAGTCAAACCATACAGTTTGAAAACGAGGCGCTGCTCCAACTAGAAAACAATGTTTTGATGCATTGGATGTGCTGAATGTGCATATTAAGGCAGTACAGGAGGAGGTGCACTTTAATAATCCTCCAGGACTGTAACATGCTCATGTTTAACCCAAACAATGTGTCATGTGACTGCAGTTGGTTCACATCCAGGTCGGAACACATTCTCACCACAAATGAACCGCACCAGAGTTCTTTTGTAACCAGACTGAGACCACCTCTTCAAGAAGGTCTCAGTCTGGTTGTTTTGGTGCTCACCTGAGTGTGATTGCTGTGTTCACATCTGCCCAAACGAACCGCACTGAGGGGGCAAATGAACTTGACTTCAACTGAATCGAACCAAACAGGGCAGGTGTGAAAGCACCCTCAGACTAACCAAGACAGTTTTTTTCTGCGTTTCTGTCTAGTTAGAATAAAGTGTGTTTTACTACAAGTTAACTTAGTTCAGTGAAAGAGAGGAACTTGAATTCAGAAGGTGTGCTGTTGTATTTCTGTTTAATAAGGAAAATATAAGAATACTGACTTCGTCGTCATTTTGTGAGTTTGTACTGTTTATTTGTTGGACTGACAAGAGATACTAAGCTTAAAGAGAACGCTATTAGATTCTGCCAAAGCCTAGTACAGTCCACTTTGGATCAGATCACCCAAGACACATGTTAATGTCAAGTATAAACAAGGCCTAAGTGAGATGTATTCTTCTTCTTTTCATCTTCACCAGCTTATTGAGTTTAGTTGTAATTGCAGAGGTTTCTTTTTTTTTTCCTGTGCACTTAAAGGACCTCTCATCCATGTTGGGTTAGGTGATTGTTTTGTCAACCTCTGTTTCCAGGGGCAAGAATGACGTTTGACAGTCTTTTAAAGTCGTGTTGTTTTGTTCTAGACGTCTCTCCTCAATTAACTGTATTGTTTTGTTTTTATGAGTACGCCGTGTGGTCGAGAAAAAGACAGTTTCCACATTGTGGTCAATTAAGTTTCTCAGTAACTTCTGTTTTTCCTGCCGACTCAGTCCAATCTGTTTGGAATTAAGCAACACAAAGCTGATGCTGCACCTCCCTCTAGTGGCCGACAATAATAACAACCACACACAACGTTGAACACCACCTCCAACGTTCGGAGGGTGATGTGCTGCAGTGTCACAATGAAGGCGACGATTTCAGTGTCTGAAATTGAAATCACATTTATTGTTTGTTCTGGAGTTGATTCACTTAAAACTTAACCCTTTGTGTACAGTACAGTTCTTTCCTCGACTGCATCTTTTTTCTTTTTAATCATTGTCATCTCACCGTCTTTTTACACACACTCACATGAACACGCACACACGCACGCACGCACACACACACACACACACACACACACGAAGCAGCTGGTTACACCAGCTGAGGCTTGTTCAGGTTGATCTTAAAGGGGACTCTGATGCACCCGCCTGCGTCTCACACAGTGACGAAGCCACAGAGGTTCCGGCGTCTGTGAGCACAGGAGAGGATCATATCTCATATCTCAGCATGCACACTGGTCCCCTTTAAGGCCTGCTTATTAGAGTCCTTTGATACCAGGACGTGACAATCACATTAAAATGTCTTCCTCACGCTCAGACACTCGCCAGCTCCTCGACCTGCGACATTCTCACCAGCACCAAAGTTTCAGCTTGGAGAGACTAACAGATAGAAATAAAAAATACTCTAAAGATTCACCTTGCGGGACTGCAAATACAGAAATGCACAGAGCAATAAAAAATACATAGCATCAAAGGTTGAAATCAAATCACGATAGAGGAATTAAGATCACTTATTTTTTTTTAACTACCTCGCTAATAGAACTGCTGATAGCTCTACTAGCATCAACAGCTTCTTAAGTACATGTAGTTATATAGTATGTTATCTATACTCCATAAAAGGGTTTCGTTTGGATCGAACAGTCATGTTTCAAACATGGGCAACAAACTCTAAAAGGTCGCCAGCCTACGTGGACCCTTTAGTTATTGCTTCAGCTCTGGCTTGATATGAACGCACTCTGAAGCAGTGTAGAAAGAAAACCGACCGCAGACTTCAGGAGCCCGAGGTCGCACGGTGTTCGTTAGAGGGCTGGCAGTTCTCAAGAGCCCCGCTTGAAATCAAGTTTGGTTTGTGTTCATGTTTAATTGGAATAATCTAACCCTACAGTAACAACATGGAGCCGCTCCAGTAGCCCGAGTCTTCTTTTTCTCGGCGGGTGCTTGTGGTGGACCGCCGCCGGTTCAGTCCATTGTTCAGCGTGGAGCCTTGGGGAACTCGATAGCTGTGCAGAGTTTCCTCCACCATCAGGTCCAATGTAAACAGCTTTTACAGAGGCAAGACAAGGAAGTAAACAGACTCTTTGGCACATCCTAACACGACGACGGATGCAGTTAAAGTCCTGGTCAGACCACGTACAGACAGGCTCCCACATTTAGTCCACGTTAAGCACAGGAGGCGTCTTCCTATCAAGCGGGTTTACTTCCATCTTTCTCTTTAAAAATGGGAAACAAATGCACATTTGCTATGTCTGTACACAAACATACAAACACACACACACACACACACATTGTGCACTCGTGTCAAAGTGCACCGCTGACCTATTTTCAAACATTCCAGAGCTCTACTTTAGCTTTAAAATGACCTAGCTTACCACATTCAGATGCATAATAATAAATAAATAATAACTCGGGTTGAATTGAAAAAGGCAGGAAAGAAATGGCAACACTTTGAATGGAAGAAAAAAGAACTATAGAAGTGTAACTTTGAACGTTTTCTATGGCCCTGCTGCTCCGATCCAGACAGGGAGATTCAAAAGCAATTGTGCCTTCAGCAGCTGAAAGCAGCGCGCTGTGGAGCTGCAACATCATGAAAGGTAAAACTATCAATGGTACGGTAACATGGGGCTTATGTTTGATTGTATGACTGTGTGCATATAAGTTTTTAATAAGTGCTTTAAGCTACATTCAAGCATAATGTGTATTTGGGGAAGAGAATTACATTATAAAGTTAACAAGGGGGGGGTTCCCTTTTTGGGTGTGCTTCCACTTCTTGCTCCTTAAACCAATTGGATTTAAGCCTGGTTTATGGTTGGGCACTCCACGCTTTTGATGACTGTTGCTTGACAGAAATTATGAACTTTTCCTTTCAAGTTGCACCTGGAGAATTGTGTTATCACATGGACAATGTCATACTTTGTCATGAAGTGTGACTGACGACATGGCGACAGTAGTTCTCAACATGCATGTATAAAGAGAGCTGGAGGCAGGACCCCTGTCATCCCTCTGAGTTTCTCAGTGGTACTCTAAGCCAAAAAAAAATCCAGCTTCTACTTGCGTTCAAGACTTTACTCAGGGTATAAAATAACCCGGATTATTGGCACTACTTCTGCACTGTGTGGACCAAAGAGTTGGTGGTTCCCAACCAGTGGGTCGCGGTCCCATTCTAAATGGACTGCAAGTGACTCACACATGTGTCAAGTTCCTAAAAAACAAACTATCTGGATGTAAAGTGAATTTCTGGCGCAGAGCTTTTATTTTAAAGAGCCGTTTCCTGCTGTAGAGTAAGTGACAAACGGCAAACTAGCTCGACGACATGGCCAAACATGCTGAATATATTTAACTGTGTGGACCTTGAACTGATGACTGACGAGAAATGTGGACCCATGGCTGGACCTGTTGGGAACCACTGCATGAGAGACTTGTGCCAGCTGAGCCAACTACTTCCAGTTTAGTGCTCTGCCAACTTGAATAGGGATAAAATGATTCAATTGTGCAGCTCTTTTAGATTTTCCAAATGCTATCAGACTGAATGGATCAAATTCTGATTGTGAACTGAGTAATTCTGTGGGGATTGGGATGCTCAAAAATAAATGTTTACAGATGTCTTTTTTCCACCGCAAGTTTCTGAAAAAAGTATTTTTGGGCTGCATAGCACTGCATGACGGATATAATGTGACTCCATACAAGGTCAAGTGAGTAATATAAAGAGAGATTTAGTGGCATCAAATGGTGACGACTGCAGATTGCAACCAGCTGAAACTTCTAACGAGTAGAATTCCTTCAGTGTTCATTGCTCAGGGTGTTTTTACTGGGAGCTTAATTATCCATAGAGGTTAAATTGGACCTGGTACAAACGCTGAATAAAACAGTGCAATGTTGTAAATCTGTGTTTCTCCGACACTTTTGTCGTGGAGGGGCTGCTAACTATGGTGGCCGACGCGAGAATGCAAATGGCGCTCTCTAGAGACAGTGTTTGGTTTGTCTGTTCTGGGCTACTGTAGAAACATGGCGGTGCAACATGGTGATCTCCATAGACATGGACCTGCTCCCTATGTTCAAGTGTTGGGGGCGGTTACTTTTGAAATGTAATAGGTTACAGATTACTAGTTACCCTGTTCAAGTTGTGATAAGTAATGTCACTAATTTAATCACGTCATCCAAATAATGTAACTTATTACATTTGATTACTTTTTGAGTACTTTTCTAACAAAAGTTTTGACTTGGCAATAGAAATCATCAGTGCAGAAATGTCGCACTCAAATTTGTTCCAATTTCTTTGATAAACCGTGTAGTAACTGAAATAAATTATTTGAATGTAACCCTTTATAATCACCAGTATTTTAACTGTAATTTAATTGCATTTTTGTCAGTAGCTATAACTAATTACAATTAAATTTATTTTGTAATTTAATGACATGTAGCTAGTTACTCTCCAACACTGCCTACGCTGATATAAACGGCTGATTCTATGGTAACGAAAACACAATGATTCTTGTTTTCAGATGATTATACACTAAAGGAAATGTACTTATTTTCTTCCTTTTCTGCCAATATCTCTCCTTAAATCCTACACACTGATGCAAAAATTGAAAATAATGTTTCATTTCTGTCAAGCAACACTCACCAAAAGAGTCGAGCGCTTTGCCATAAATCAGGCTTTAGTCTTTTGCCCGTTCAACAGGGCGTTTCAGTTTCAGTTAAGTGCTAAGTGTCAGTGTCGACATTGAAAGTGCCTCTTTTAACACCACGTGTTAACACGTGTTTTACGTCTCAGCCACTTGACTAGCAAGATTATAAACGTCATTTAATCTCAGTCAGGACCTTTGGGTGAGAGGCTGAGGCCAGCAGCGTGGTCAGAGCCTCACCGCTCTCAGTAACACACTGTTCATAAAGGGAAAGGGGGGCGAAGCTGCAGTAGACAGGAGGGGGGCTGAAGTTTGATAAAGGGCTACATTAACCCCTAAATCACCCAGTGAATGGCAGGAGAGGTACAGCAACGGTCCGCGTCAACACCTGGACATTCAGTATAAACAAGGCAAACCCAAAACATTAGCTCGTCTCTCCTGCTAACCTCTGACACTACCAACAATCGCCCATCCCCGGTGCGCAGATAAGCCAGGAGAGCTTCGTTCCCATGGTAACGGGACTTAGTAACAGTCTAGAAAGCTGCTTCAAAGGTGCTTGGGGCTCAGAGGGCTCTTTGGAGGGGAAACACTCCTCCTCAGCAACACTTTGTGAAGGCCGAAGGAAAGAAACGGATGGACAAAAAGATACTCTAAAGGCAGGAAGAAACAAACAGGGCTAAATGACAGCGATGAGCTTACACTGTCTGGGTGGGGACGGGGATAGAGGTCGGAGACAGGGTGGACTTCTCCTCTGAGACCTTTACGATCTCTGTGGCAGTGACAGGTGGAGCACACTTGGCCACTGGAGGCGTAGGGGAGCGGGTCGGGGTGGAGGTGAGGGCAGGCGTGGTGGAGGTGGTACTGGAGGTAGAGGTGGAGGTGGAGGCTGGGGCAGAGGCCTGGACCGGGGCTGGGTCATCGGCAGGGGGTTCAGCAGAGGCTGCTTTGGGTGCAGCAGGCTTGTTGTAGTTCATCTTGAGGATGTGCTGCTGGAGGTGTCTGATCCAGTCCTCCTGCACCGAAAGCGGGCCGTGAAACTCCACCTCGCAGAACCTGACGCACAGGAACATATATCAAAGCTGGAATTATGCAAAATAACACACACACACACACACACACACACAGTAATCTACACACTCTGTGGCTGCAGCAACGTTTTCACACAAAGAAATAAAATACAAACTGACGGGTGTTAAATTCAGCGCCTCCCTCGGGTGCAGCCAATTCTGTTAAAACTTTTGTGCTGCAGTTACATCAGAACTTAAGCACTCATTCGTGTTGCCTGAAAATCCCAAATGATTCAGTATTCTCAATATGGTGCATTAGCCACTAAAAGTGGAGTGTTGCTCAGCAGGGGGTGGGGGTGGGGGGGGGTGGGGATTGGTGCTTGGGGATTACAGGACTATTTAAAACTTAGCCAGACAGTTCTATTAATGCTGCCTTCTCAAAATGTCTCATGTTGACGGCCCCTGAGCGTTTTCTCTCGGGCCCTGGGAAGCTCTAACAGACAGGTTTCACTCACCGGCACTTCAGGGTGTAGAACTTTCCCACCAGTTTGACCAGTGGGTAAGATGGTGGTTTGGGCACCAGGGCGGGGACGGTGCCTGTGCGCGGGGGTTTAGGAGGGCTCTCTGTTCCATCTGGGCAAGACGGGTGTTTCAAGGGCCGACGCTCAAAACCTTAGTGAGAGGAGAAGGAGGAGTGGACAGACAGGGTTGGTGCAAAGTGAAGCTGCGCTACAATACATGGGTGCATTTCCTCACTTCCTTTCCTCACGTTTTAGTCAAACCCACAGATGCAAACAGAGGAGACGAGGAAGAGACACAAGGAGCTGCCAAATGAGAGATCCTTGGTTCCATATCAACAGTCTTACTAATGCCATGCTGCACAGCTGCATCACCTGTCGAACCAACTGGTGCGAATGTCCAAAAAAACCAAACAAACCTTATTTAAGAACAATGACCCTGAAACATCTTTCACACGGGTTGGAAAATCTCTTATAGGTCTACAAGGTTCTGTTTACGTGTGTACAGATATTTTTGGAAATGTGTATTTTCTCTACATTTGGCCTCTCGTTCAAACGCAACCGGAGTCTTAGGTCGCTAAGGCCTTCTCAGATGCAGATTTCAGAACTTCGGTAACTTTGTATCTGTGTGGACGTGTAAAATGGAGCGTTTGGGCGAACACTACAGGCTACAGGCCCGTCGGCACTCCTGGATCCGCTGCCCTGCTGCACTTTACACCACTGTCCTATTTCCAGCCTCACCGCCCCTGGAATGAAATGCATTTTCCCCCACTTGCTCTCTGCTTGTACACAACAGCTCCAGTAGCAGCTCTACTTCTCTGCTCCTATGGCAGCTCGACTCCTCTCTGTGGACGCATAAAGAGAACTCTGGAGCTAACCCTAACCCACAATCAGGTCATTATAAAGGCAATTACCAAAAAGATATTGCCTGATGAGTCATAGCTCTGGAAATTGGCAGTTCAGGTGAGAAATGAAGTTTAATTCGGGGTTCTCCACACATGATATTAAGCTAACGCAGAGGTGGGAGTTGTAAAGATCTTTCAGTAGTAGTCATTACTCTGTGTGGGCGTCTGTTAACGAGCTGCAACACAACATGTCCAGTGCGTGCTAGGGGCGGCAATTGACACACCTTGGCGGTGCCGGTGTGTTTTCAGCTTTACATACACCAAAGGCCTTTATTCATTTAGAAATGAAAACTGTTCAACATAACCAGTTATTAGTAGCATTATTACTGTAAAATCTCATTATTATTTAACCCATTTAGACCGGAATACACATCTATGTGTATATCCCTTTAAGGACGGGATACCCATGAATGAAAGAGATTAAGGACGGAATACACACGTGTGTGTATTTCCATGTTATCTTCTTTTTTGAGGCATGTGACTGATGATATGCGCCACGATTGGCTGAAACCCCACGTGGGTGAGTGCAAGGGATGTCTATCTATTTGTCAGTGAGGTCACTTGACAGAAAAAAAGCTTCGTGATTGGTCAGAATAGGTCAACAACAAAGTAATGCAAAGTCCTCGTTATTGGTTGAATTACACGTGTAGCATGCTTGCACCTGACCCCTCCCCGTTTATATTTTCTGCCGGGAAAACAGATCGGTCTTTTGACAGCTGTCAATCATGGAGTCAAGCGAGGGGTTAGGGTTACGCCAGGGCCACACCGCCCGCGGAAGTGCTGCGAAGCGCAGCGCACCGAAATTCTCACGCGAGCCGGAGCACCTCCGTTCACATCAGGTGCGCATTTCTCCACGCCGGTCAACAAGCGGTTCAGCTCCCTAACCAGCTGACTTCCTGCCCGGCTTGACACATTCGCTCGCGGCTTGCGCAGAAAATAGACAAGACGCCAAAACGATTGCTGCAGGGCGCGAGCCGGCCGCGGCGCAGCTGGTGCGGTGAGGCGAAGCAAGTTTCCTGTTCCTGTGGTATGTTGATTTGTCGAAATGGCTTGACTGACTATAATAAATGAGGACCTTTGACTTTTAAGACTTGTATTTGAGCTGTTACAGAGCTCTCAATTAGCAGCAATAAATAAATAAATAGAAATACAATGATAACACATGATGATAAATAAATAAATAGCAGCAATAAATACATAGAAATACAATGATAACATGATTGACTATAGATAAATAAACAGCAGTAATAAATAAATACATAGCAGCAATAAATAAATGAATAAATAAATAAATAAATAGAAATACAATGATAACAATTGATGATGAATAAATAGTTATCTGAATCACACACACTCTCCTCTCTGTCTTATGGTTGTCTGTTCTTGATATTTTTGTTGTTTATTGAGTTTCTGAAAATCTAAGTTGAAGATTACTGTAAAACAAGTAAGTACAAATAAACGCTACATTTGTAAGCTCTCAAATGCTTTTTAGTTCATGTTTCTATCTGCTCCAGAGCCTGAGAAAATAAGGTTTTAGTAGGCGAGGTCAGTTCTTTTAGATTTTTCAGAATATGCTCAGGATTAGGGGTTTTATACAGGCTTTATAATGCCTTTTTTCCAGGCGAGATTAGGTCTAAATGGGTTAATGTTCCTTTCTGTTTAGGTAAGTGTTATTTTTTATGATTACTAAGGCAATTGAGTGACTTGTATTATTGCCATCTGCACTATAATACATCTCATAGCTGCATGAAAATGTGTGTGTGCATCGTAAAATAAAAACAAAAAAAAATTGTTGCTTTGTGTGATGCCACAACACTTTGCAATTAAATTACACTATATATATTCTAAAGTGTTAGATTTAACACATAAAAGTTGACGGTGCATTTTAATGCGTCTCACCATGTAATCAAGTTTTATTACACTATCTAGATCCCTGTGTGTGACACTACAGAGTAAGCACTGTGAGAGAAAACTGGATACAGGATACACCTATGTTTCCTTTGCTCTAAGCTCCTCCAGAAGCACCCTATCTCCTTGTCTCCTTGAGGTGTATCTAAGGGATTTGAAGATCGTTCATGATGGCAAAAGTAGGTGCTTGGTGTTAGCATGATGAAAAGGACCAGTCCAGTGTTGCTCATCGAGTTATTACAGTGATTTAGCTGAAAGCACACAAGGCGTAATTTTCTTTCTAAACCCAGCAGATGCATCAACTGCAATAATTTCTCACTTCCTTTTGGACCTCTAAGGTTAATTTTGTTCAAGCATTCTTCAATACACTTGATGGGAGAAATGTGGCCCTTTCACTGCTTTTCAAAGACTTAACAAATAAATAAATAATTCAATGTCAAAAAACAAAGGATGAAAGGCAACTCACTGTCACTGAAAACAAAGGTGAGCACACACTGCCTCATTTTATTTATTTCCCCTGATGAAACACCTCGCTCTCACTGTTTTTCTTTTAGCATAACAGACTCTTTTTATTTGTCTTACATCTAATGTTTCCCACAGTTGACCCTGCTGCTGTGCAGCCACCGTCAGTCACCTTTTCTGTCTGCAAACATGCTAACAGCTCTTTAAGAATGTTTTATGAGCTAAATGTTGTTAACAGTATGCTAACATGCTCACTGGAAGAATAATATGCTAATGTCAGTATATTAACATGCTCACAAGGAAATGCTATGTTAATGACAGTATGCTAACATGCTCACAGGAAAAAATGCTAACGTCTATATGCCTTACAGGGTCTCAGGGAATATGCTATGCTAATGTCAGTATGCTAACATGCTTGCAAGGAAAATGTTTTGCTAATGTGAGTATGTTAACATGCTCACAGGGAAAATGCTATGCTTATGCTAGTATGCTAACATGCTCACTTGGAAAATGCTATGGTAGTGTCAGTATGCTAGCATGCAAATAAGGAAATGCAGTGTCAATGGAGGTATGCTAACATGCTCATACTGAAAATGTTATGCTAATATCAGTATGCTTACATGCTCACAGAAAAAATGCTATGCTAGTGTCAGTAGGCTAACATGCTCATGAGCAAAAAAACATGTTATTAACAGTATGCTAATATGCTTATAGGAGAGAAAATGCTATGCTAATGTCTATTTGCCTTACAGAATCTCAGGGAATATGCTGTGCTGATGTCAGTACGCTAACATACTTACAAGGAAAATGTTATGCTAATGTAGGTATGCTAACATGCTCATAGGGACAGTACTATGCTAATGTATATATACTAACATTCTCAGAAGGAAAGCGTTATGCTGATGTCAGTATGCTAACATTCTCAGAAGGAAAATGCTATGCTAATGTCAGTATGCTAACATGCTTATAGGCAAAATGTTTTGTTTATATCAGTATGCTAACATGCTAGCAGCTTTTCGAGAATGTTGTTAAGCTCAATGTTGATTAACACTATACTAACATGCTCACTGAGAAAATGCTATGCTAATGACAGTATGCTAACATGCTCGCAGGGTAAATGCTATGCTAATACCGGTTGCAAACATGCTAGCAGCTTTGTGAGGATATAGTTGAGCTAAATGTTATCAACAGTATACTAACATACTCACTTGGAAAATGCTATGCTAATATCAGTGTGCTAACATTATTAGAAGGAAAATGCCAAGCTAATGTCGGTACGCTAACACGTCAATAAGGAAATGCTATGCAAATGTCAATATGCTAGCATGATTATAGGAAAAATGCTATGCTGATGTCCGTGTGCTAACATGCTCAGAGATAAAATACTAAAATGCTCATGTTTAGCAGGTATGATGTTTACCAAGTTTGTTTAGTGTTAGCATGCTACCTTTAGCTTATTAGCACTAAACACATGTAAAGCTGAGGCTAATGGGAATGTAGTTTTACAGGTAGTCATAAACCAAAGAGCCTGCTGATGGTGCTTTGTGAAAAGTTAAGGGATCATCAGAGGTATTAAAGTTCATCCTGACGGGGACATAAAATCTGTCCAAATGTGTGTGAAGACGTTTAACTCAGAACCAAAAATATCAAATAGCTGGTGGTGCCAGAGGAAAGTCAGGGGATCAGCAGAGGGATTCATCTTCTGGGAAACATTAATGTCTGCTCAAAGTTTCATGGTGATCCATCCAGTAGGTGCTGATATATTTTGGTCTGAAGTAGTGGACCAACTGCCTGACATAACCATCCCTAGAGCCACTCTGTTAACTCTGCTAAAGCGAGGCTGAACACAGACGAACAACCTCAGAGAATTTCAGTAGTTTGAGATTTTTAGAGTCAAATAAAATGTTTTTCTCAGAAGCTTAAAACTACCTCAACAAGAATATATTCAACTGACAATGTACATTGTGTAATGATACATACAGGCACCTGACTGTGTGCAAGGGAGCAAAAACATATGCTGCACTCTCACATACCTCTGGGCAGGCGGACGTTAAGCTCACTGCGTGCCACCTGTGCTTGAAGCGGAAGGCTGCCGGAGAGCGGCGAGGGGCTGGGACTGCTGCGGCCGGGCCTGAGCAGAGCAGCGTGCAGGTTGGCTTCACCCTCGGCGGTCTTGGAAGAGCTCTGGCTGACCTCGCGGCTCAGCGGCCGCACCAGGCTTACAGCCAAAGAAGAAGACCACTGGGAGGAGGAGGAGGAGGAGGAGGAAGAGGAGGCCTTCTGCGATGAGATGGGGAGGATATGATCAGAATCCGCTGACGCAGTAAGAGGTGAGCTGCTCTTCTGGAAGAGGGACAGAGATGAGTTTCCTAATCAGCGTTATATCAACAGCCGCCATGTCCTGGTGCTGTTATTACACATAACTAATAGTACTAATATGATCATTATAAATACTAAGTAAAACTGCCAATCTCTATCAATGTACTTTGCATATTACATTTATAGTATGAAATACAGGGCTGTGGGTTATTTCCTATAAATAAAATTGCAATGTTTTTTGGTTATACCGTGAAACATGAATTTTGATATCTCCTATAAACTAATGTAAACTACTATAATACTACTACAGCCATTACTACTGCTGCTGCTGCTAAATAAACTACTGTTACAATTAGGTTAAATAAAGTACGGTTTCAATTAAGTTAAATAAAGTACTGCAATAATAAAGTTAAACAAAGTACTGTCATAATTAAATTAAGTTCTGTTACAATAAAGTTAAATAAAGTACTGTTACATAAAGTAAAAAGTTAAAGTACTGTTACAATAAATTTAAATAAAGTACTGTTACAATTAAGTTAAAGTACTGTTACAAAAAGTTCAATAGTTAAATAAAGTACTGTTACAATAAAGTTAAATAAAGTACTGTTACAAAAAGTTAAATAGTTAAATAAAGTACTGTTACAATAAATTTAAATAAAGTACAGTTACAATAAGTTAAATAAAGTACTGTTACAATAAATTTAAATAAAGTACTGTTACAAAAAGTTAAAAAGTTAAACTACTGTTACAATTAGGTTAAATAAAGTACGGTTTCAATTAAGTTAAATTAAGTACTGTAATAATAAAGTTAAACAAAGTACTGTCATAATTAAGTTAAATTAAGTTCTGTTACAATAAAATTAAATAAAGTACTGTTACAATAAAGTTAAATAAAGTACTGTTACAATAAATTTAAATAAAGTACTGTTACAGAAAGTTAAACAAAGTACTGTTATAATAAAGTTAAATAAAGAACTGTTACAATTAAGTTAAATAAAGAACTGTTACAATAAAAATAAAGTACTGTTACAAAAAGTTAAACAAAGTTAAATAAAGTACTGTTATAATAAAGTTAAATAAAGAACTGTTACAATTAAGTTAAATAAAGAACTGTTACAATAAAAATAAATAAAGTACTGTTATGATAAATTTAAATAAAGTACTATTAAAATAGTTAAATCAAGAACTGTCAATTATAAATAAATCTATAATAAAAAAATCAAATAAAGAACTATTTCAATAAAGTTAAATACAGTACTGTTATAATTAAAGTCAGTAAGGTACTGTTACAATAAATTAACTTAAGTACTGTTATAATTAAGTTAAATGAAGTACTATTTCAATATAGGTAAAACACAATGCTGTTATAATGAAGTTACATAAAATACTGTTAGAACAAAGTTAAATAAAGCACTGTTGGAATAAAGTTAAAAGTACTGTTGTGATTAAGTTCACCCTGAATTAAATATCCTCATCTTAAACAAACAGATCAACATTTTGGGACATTTGTTTGTGAGAAGACTGATGTGGATTGAGTGGTATCAATGATCTTGTCTAACTCTGCAGGTAAAAAGCAAATAAATGTCAAAATATTCCTTTAATTTGCTGTAGAAAAGATTGTGACTGCCAGTATTAGCAAAGTGATTTATAACATGTAACTTTTTAGTAGTTGTAGAGTAGTTGTAGAGTAGTAGAGTTTATTTAACTCTATCATGTAAATTTATCACATATAAGGTTTTATAGCTGCTATTTGAACACAACGTGATGCATTTGTGAGCTCTACAGAAACAGCTCAAGTTCAGATGGTTTTTATCTCCGAGAACTCATTGTTATTCTGAGGAATGAAAGATTGTGTCAGAGAGAAATCACCCACAGTCCACCCACACAGGTGTTTACACTCATTTCCTGATTAGACTTCGTCTCAGCTCTGAACCTGGCTGACGTGTCTCTCACTTTGCTGTTAATTTTCTTCATCTGTTTGTTTGTGTTTCTCCGTTTGTTTGTTGAACACTGTTAACAGACAGGTAACAGACAGCAAGGCAGGGACGTTCCTAAGTGGTTAAATTCAAGATTACAGTGAGTTAAAAAAGAAGATATCGATAAAATCATACATGAAGAAGTATTTTTTTAAAGTGTAACAATGTGTGTGCACTTTCTTTTTGTCATGAGGGTAAATGTGTGAATTCAACCAGAGCAATATAAAGGTTTGGGAAGGACACAGAGATTCTATCCATCTTTATGTATGTTAAATTCAATGTGAAAGTATAACATGCATCAAGTAACTCAAAGGTTTGTTACTACAGTGGGGAGAACAAGTATTTGATACACTGCCGATTTTGCAGGTTTTCCCAATTACAAAGCATGTAGAAGTCTGTAATTTTTATCATAGGTACACTTCAACTGTGAGAGATGGAATCTAAAACAAAAATCCAGAAAATCACATTGTATGATTTTTAAATAATTAATTTGCATTTTATTGCATGACATAAGTATTTGATCACCTACCAACCAGTAAGAATTCCGGCTCTCACTGACCTGTTAGTTTTTCTTTAAGAAGCCCTCCTGTTCTCCACTCATTACCTGTATTAACTGCACCTGTTTGAACTCCTTACCTGTATAAAAGACACCTGTCCACACACTCAATCAAACGGACTCCAACCTCTCCACAATGGCCAAGACCAGAGAGCTGTGTAAGGACATCAGGGACAAAATTGTAGACCTGCACAAGGCTGTGATGGGTTACAGTACAATAGGCAAGCAGCTTGGTGAGAAGGCAACAACTGTTGGCGCAATTATTAGAAAATGGAAGAAGTTCAGGATGACGGTCAATCTCCCTCTGTCTGGGGCTCCATGCAAGTTCTCACCTCTTGGGGCATCAATGATCATGAGGAAGGTGAGGGATCAGCCCAGAACTACACGGCAGGACCCGGTCAATTACCTGATAAGAGCTGGGACCGCAGTCTCAAAGAAAACCATTAGTAACACACTATGACACTACGCCGTCATGGATTAAAATCCTGCAGCGCACGCAAGGTCCCCCTGCTCAAGCCAGCTCATGTCCAGGCCCGTCTGAAGTTTGCCAGTGACCATCTGGATGATCCAGAGGAGGAATGGGAGAAGGTCATGTGGTCTGATGAGACCAAAATAGAGCTTTTTGGTATAAACTCCACTTGCCGTGTTTGGAGGAAGAAGAAGGATGAGTACAACCCCAAGAACACTATCCCAACCGTGAAGCATGGAGGTGGAAACATCATTCTTTGGGGATGCTTTTCTGCAAAGGGGACAGGACGACTGCTCCGTATTGAGGGGAGGATGGATGGGGCCATGTATCGTGAGATCTTGGCCAACAACCTCCTTCTCTCAATATGATCATTGAAGATGGGTTGTGGCTGGGTCTTCCAGCATGACAATGACCCGAAACACACAGCCAGGGCAACTAAGGAGTGGCTCCGTAAGAAGCATCTCAAGGTCCTGGAGTGGCCTAGCCAGTCTCCAGACCTGAACCCAATAGAAAATCTTTGGAGGGAGCTGAAAGTCCGTGTTGCCCAGCGACAGCCCTGAAACCTGAAGGATCTGGAGAAGATCTGTATGAAGGAGTGGTCCAAAATCCCTGTTGCAGTGTGTGCAAACCTGGTCAAGAACTACAGGAAACATCTATAATTGCAAACAAAGGTTTCTTTACCAAATATTAAGTTCTGTTTTTCTGATGTATCAAATACTTGTTCTCACCACTGTATGTTCGAATTTAATGATGATATATCTTGGGGCATAATTGTTATAGACTGTCTTGTCTTGTTATAATCAAACTTCTGATTTAGTTCATGACACTTATTGGTGGAGTTTGGTGACATCATAAGATTCCCAGCACAGCTCCACCCAACTTCACCCTGACCTGAGGTCTTATCAGCTCTGAGGGTGTGACAGGGCTCAAAGGAAAAGGCTCGTTCCAGATGAGCCAGGCCTGCACAGATGGGATCACCGGCGAGCACTAAAACTTTAAGATGTTGGTGACGATGCTCAGTCACCCAGGTCATGGTAGTCATAGGTGCTGTATCGGAGAGCCAGCTCATCAGGTCAAGACAAGCTGTCCTGTAACATCTAAAAAAGACAGGACATTCCTTCGAGGACAGCGATGTCCACGTCTTGGCCACAGAAGACAGATGGTTTGAAAGAGGTAAAAAAGAAGCCACGTCTGCGTCAAACTGGAACGACCATCGTTAAACAGAGGAGGTGGCCTCTGACAGCACTTATCACCCACCTACAATGCAGTCTTGGGATCCCTCCCCAAAGACTTAACACCATTCACACGTGGTCCCAGCTAATCCCAAGGACACACAAGATGGCCAGGTGGGTCAAAGACTCACATTAGCCCCTTTTCCACCAACATTTCCAGGAACTTTTATCACCAGGAATTTGTTTACCTGGGTAAAAGAATTCCTGGTAATCTGTGTGGTTTGCGTCAGTAACGAGTGTAGCTGCCGTCAACTCAAGTCAGTTATCTTCACTTTGTTTCCACCGCGAGCTGTTCACCGGTTACCGTGTCGCGGCGGTGTGTGTGTGGATGTGTGTGTGGAGGAGTTCAGCACCGGCACAAAAGAACTGATACCGTTAGCGCTTATCAACACTATGGTCTGTGATAATTTAGCCCTGGGGCTAATTTAGTACCGGGTTTCAGTACCCATCCTTAATCAAAACAGAAACTAAATGAAGGCTGTAGAAATTAAATAAAGTTTGCAGCGGATGCCCGTACCAGGAAGTGTGGAACGCTGCATGTGCGTTCCACCAATCAGCGTTCTTCAGCACACAGAATTACGGGTAATCTGAAAAGTCCTACCCCCCTACTAGGTACTTTTTCAGGGAAAGTTTGGGGTTGAGGGCAACTTTTTTACCCGGGTAATTTCGGTGGAAACGTGCAGAGGATTTTCAAAATCCCGGGTAAATGATAAAAGGTCCTGCAGTGGAAAAGGAGCTATTGTGACCTTAACGACTCTATAAGGGTTCACACCCACATAGAGTGCAAAGTCTGCGACTTTGTGCACCAGTCCGTTGGAATTGAGGAAGCTTCTTGGACGAGAGGTGAAACGTCTTCAAGAAACTCAAGCAAGTCCAGTTGCCTACGATACAGCACTGAAACTAAGTTTAACAACAGTAAGGTTAACGTGTGGTTAGGTTTAGGCACAAAAACTACTTTGTTATGGTTAGGAAAAGATCATGTTTTGGCTTAAAACACCCAATTTTAGGGGCACAATCCCCCGCTGGAAAAGCAGGGATGGCTGGGTAGAAACAGCTGCTTTTTGTGGCACTGTCTCCGATGAAAAAACAGCAACAGATTGCTAATAAACAGCCATGTTTGGTGCCTAAAAAGCAGCAGGAAACACAGTGTTGAGGTGCTAAATCACAACTAGTTTTGCTGTTTGTTGGTCTCAAACAGTGGTCAGGTGAGACAACATCCACCATCCCCTCCACCTTCTGATGACAAAGTCAGCTCATGTACTACGTCGCTTTAGAAACGCTGACATGATACATATGAAACGAACAAATACGCAATGTACAATGCCTACATTTTCTTCAGGCGACTGGGCTGTTTTCTGACATTTAATTGCGTCCCTGCAACTTACAGTTATTTTCAGTCTCGATTAATCTGCCCATTTCCTTGATAAATCATGTGGTCAATAAAATGTCAGAAAAAAGTGGAAAATGCCCGTCACAATTTCCTGAAGCCTGATATGATGTCCTAAAATTAATCGTTGAGTTCAAACCCACAAAATACTGAGATTTGTCACATAGAAAAGCAGCACATCCGTTCCACTGAGCGGCTGCAACAAGGAAATGTTTAGCTTTTTATTTTAAAATGACTAATTAGTTATCAAAATAGTTGCTGATGAATTTTCTGTCAATTGTCTGTTCCATTAATGGTCTATATGGTGAGTGTGTCTCAGAACAATACATGCAGCTTCGGTGGGTTCATTGCTCCAGTATGCAAAAACCCTTTTCAATATGATTACAAGGGCATTTAAAAGGTGATGTGTTCAGTATGTGTGTCACATCACAGCTCAGGGAGAAGGTGTGACAGTGACGCAAATGCACCAGAAACTAATTCAGGAGGGAAAGAAAGAGAGAGAGAGAGAGAAAAAACGTACGTTTTCTTCTATCAACAGCATGCCATAATTTATCTGAGGATGAAACATAAGCTGCCAGGCACCCTGGTTACTATGGCAACTATCAAGTCAATAGCTGAGTTGTTCTGGCATCTGTCCCCACAGTGATTTTTGCTGGGTGTAAAGACACAGGATCTACAGTAAGGCTCAAAGCTGTTAGACAACACGTCTCTGAAGCTTTCCAAGACACAAAATGTCTGTCGAGCCACCGGCTGAGGAATGTTAGATCTCCAGCCGTGACGCCTATTCAAAGATACTGGGGGAAAAGAGTGTGTCAGAAAAGTAGCACAGTAGGTTATGATCTTGTGTTGTATAGCTGCTGAGCTTTGTGGGAGGCACAAGTTCTTCTACTGATATTTCTTTTTCTCTGAGAACATTTATACTCACAACAGCAGACTTTGCTGAGGTATCAGAGCACAGAGATAAAGTCTGAGGGCTTCCTGTGTTAATAAAAACGCCCGCACTGACCCGAGTTATCGCACCAAGATGAATTACCAACAACAGACCGCCTCTCCTCACCTTCTTGAGGTTGGAGCGGTTCCCCTGCATGTAGCTGCGATGCATCTCCAGCACCTTCTGCGGCCTGCTGCGCATCCAGGCGCTAAGCGTCTCGATGGGGGATCCATTCACACACCACTCAGTCACACCAAACTGCCTCAGGTGGGCTCGCGCGTGGCTGGCCAGAGCTTTACGGTTCTCAAAGTAGAAGCCGCACAGCTCGCAACTGGGATCTGAAAAATACAGGACAGAACAAATAAAGAAACAGCCCTTAAGACGGGCACAAACCTGGCATTATCTAGACATCACCCAGCTGGATCAAACATTAAAGGTCCAGTGTGTTGGATTTAGGGACATCTATTGGAAGTAATGGTATATAATATTCATACCTATGTTTTTATTTGTTGATAATCACTTGAAACTAAGAATCTTTGTGCTCTAGTTACTTTACAATGAGCCGTTTATATCTACATACAGAGCAGTTCTTCTTCCACAGAGTCCACCCTGTTCTTCAGCACACCAGAGCAGACAAACCAAACACTGGCTCTACACAGGGCCGTTCTTGCTTTTAGGTTGGCCACTGCAGTTCTCCTACAGGCTTGGTTTCAGTTTCAGTAGTACAACCTCACTGCTGGATGCCATTAAATCCCACACACTGGACCTTTAAATGAACGTTAGGATATTAGGACTTTATTATCGTCTCATTTGAGGACATTGGGACTTCATTATCGCCTTGGTGAAATTTAAAAATGCATACCAAACAAAAGTTCAGGTCTCAGGAGGATAATTAAAACTTGAATCCATTATGAGTAAAAAACCTTCCCTTTGAAAATGACTAAAATAAAGGAGAGATTTAACCTCCAGTTGCTTTTTTTAACATCAAAAATAAGCAAATGAACATAGTATGATAACCGAGGAACCGAACTTTTATATCGAGGTATGCAACCCTAAGAAGAAGGGTTATTTACACGATGACTGCAACAAAAAATGTCTAACTGGAGAGACGACAAGGTTCGTTGGCTTTTGTCGGTAAAGGCTGAAGTCGAAATCGTCAGACAAATTCAAGGAACGGCAAGAGACTCTGTTGTTTATGACCAATTCACAAACCAGCTAGTAACGGTGGCGTAATTCCCGTCACTTCCTGCCTCCTGTGTGGTCTATCCAGGCGCCACCCCTCGCCTAAACCCGACAGAATATTTCCAGTATGTGAGAACGCTTCTGACATGGACAGTCTCCCATCATTTTTGCTTACTTTCAGCCACATATTGACCCACTTGTGAAAATGCTTAAGCTGACACTGGGTTTTTATTTTAGAAATAGTAACTGCTTCTCTTTCTTGGCCCAAAAAAAAAAAAAAAAAAAAAAAAAAAAAAGACTGATCTCTGCTAAATTCTTGACTGCACGTGCTTATGGGGGATGTATAATATATATATGTGAATGCACCCTCCCAGTGTTCGCATGCTCTGGACTCTGTATCATGGTGCATTGAAATTCATAACTAAATGTCTGCCCCTTACTCATCACTGTATCCTCTATGCTCTGGTTGGGTGGCTGCCTTTAAAATTTTGTAGTCTTTTTCAGTGGCATTCAATTATTTGCAAAGCTCTTCTTGGCCTACTTCCAGCATATTTATGTGTGCACATAAAGCAAAACACTGAAAATGGATATGCTCTTCGTTCAAAGAACATGTTATTATTGTCTATATCTAGAATCCTTCTGCAGAAGGACTTGAAGTTGCACTCTTTGGTGTTTTCTGTCGCAGCAATTTTGTATGCAATCATCTGTATGCTGATGTCACGGTGTATTTAAGATGGTCTTTTTTATCATTGTCTTGTTTTTATGGTTCACTTGCAGCATATGTTAACATACTTTTTGGTTTCTCTTTGTAGTAATCTCATTTTGTATTTTATATTGTTTGTTTTGGAGTTGCATATTTTAATTTTGTTCTGTTTTTGTTCCATGTTGTCTGTCTGTAACGTTACCTTGCTGCCTGGCCAGGAGAGTCTTGAAAAAGAGGTTTTTTAATCTTTAGAGGTTCTTCTGGTTAAATTAAGGTTAGATAAAAATGAATGTGTGAAAGGGAAACAACATCAAGACCTAATTCTTCAGACACTGTCCGCAGTTCATGTGAGAAAATGCCTTATGATTAGCACAAAATGGGATTCAGAATAATAAAGAACAAATGACTCACCCTGGTGTCCGTGCTTGTCTGGTGAGGGTTTTCTTTTGAAGGAGAAATCATGTGGCTGAGGTGAGAAAGTCTTGAGCTGATGTGACGGTGAGTGGGCGGTCTCTGCTGATTGCGCCTCGGCAGACACAGGCCGTTTCCCCAGTGGGGACATCCTGAAAAACTTCCCTGCAGTCGGGGAAGCAGATGTGGACCCCAGGCCCTGCTTATGGAGCCTTGACCCCGACTGCAGCAAACTGAGCGGAGATTTACGGAATTTAGAGGACTGATAGCCTGAAACACCCAAACCCTCTGAGCTGCCGCTGCCCACCGTGTTCTCCCATGGCGGGCTGTTGGCTCCCTGGCTCGACTCCTTCTTCACTCCCTGGTCTGATTGAGAGGAGCCGCCCATGCCTCTTTTGTGCATCACCTCCCTCAGCGTGTCGATGGGCGAGCCGTTGACAGACCACTCAGTGATGCCCATCTGGCGCAGGTGGGAGCGGGCGTGGCTTGAGAGGCCTTTGCGGTTCTCAAAATATTCCCCACAGAACTCACAGCGAATATCTCTTGTCGGCTCCACTTCATGGGTCATAGCTGTGGGAAGATCAGAGGGAGAAAACAAGAAATTGCCATAAAGATCCTGCTGAGATCAAAGGCACAAGTGATTTAATACAAATATGCTCTGTAATATCTCACACTACGTATAATTATCCACCAAACAGAAAAGGAATATGCTGTGTCTGCTGATCCACTGGTTCCCAAACAATACATGTTGGTATTTATGGGAATGCCCACAAAAAAATTTCTGCGATGAGGTGCGATGTAGACCCATTGAATCTGAACTTAAGACATTTGAAGACTTTTTAGGGACCTATAGACGCCCTGGTATTTGTAATTTGAAATCAGTGCGGCCACGATGGACTTCCAAGCAGATAGAGGGGTGTAAAACACTCTTAACATACCTCACACCACAGGGAAATCTGGCAAGGTGATCTTTAGAATCATCGAAAAATCTGAGCTTTGCTGACGATTGTTGGGACGGGGGAATCAGGTCCGAAATCTGCTTGATTCTAGTGTAGCGTTAACCCAGCATAAGTTGTGAAAGCACCCTAAGTGCCAGCTCTACTGCTAACCCTTTGTGCAGCATGTCTGACAACAGACAACAACTGACCCTTCGTCCCACCCCCAGGCGCCATGACGTAGCATTGTATTTAACATAGACTTCTGAGAGTGGTATCAATCTTCTCATCTAACACTCGACAAGATAGTTAATAAGTGTACTTCCCAAAATGTAGAATGATTCCTTTAAAAATGAACCCTGGAGACGAACATACCCAGGTTGAGGGGGAACACGTTGTCAGAGCTGCTCCAACTACAGTTGGCAGTTTCACCAGTGAAGCTGGCAGACCTCCCCGCAGCTCCTGGCGTGGTGACCTCCACCTGCACCGGCTCCGGCTTCAGCTTGAGGATCAGCCCGCTGGAAGATGTTGGTGTAGCCGAGCTTGATTTAGACGCCGCGGGCTGAGGAGGACTGGAGGGGCGGGCGAAGGCGAAGGGCAGACGGCTGAGGAGGGTAGCTGACGGAGAGGAGGAGGTTGGCTGAGGTGAGCGAGGGGGTCCCGGAGAGGATGGAGGTGGAGTTTTGAGAGGTTTTAGAGGAAGGGCGCAAGGCAGGCCGCGTCTTGAGATGATCTCCCTCAGCGTGTCGATCGGGGAGCCGTTGACGGACCACTCGGTGATGCCCATCTGGCGCAGGTGTGAGCGGGCGTGGCTGGAGAGGCCTTTACGGTTCTCGAAATACTCCCCGCAGAACTCGCAGCCTATCTCCTTTGGAGGTTCATCTAGGAGATGAGAGACATGAATGTAATCTGTTAAACAGAAAAAGTATTATTTAGGAAGAAGGGTACCACAAATCCTGTGAAAGAGCACTCACTGTGTGGAAGGGCCATGAGCTCCCCACTACTCAGGCGGAAGACCCGCATGGAAGAGGACTTGAGACGCTTGGCAGGCGGGCCAAGTAAAGACGAGGCAGAGGAAGAGGTAGCTTTGGATGTCGACCCACCCCCAGCTGTGGTCACCTTGTAGAGGAGCGATGAAGAGGAAGAGGAAGAGAGGCTCAGCAGGGACTGCTTCGGGGAGGAGATGGTGGTCGTGAGGCCGCGTGGCTCCGCGTGGCTGTCGAGCTGCAGCACACTGGCTTTGTGCTTGAAGTCGTCGGTATCGATGAGCTGGTTCAGGAGGTCAATGGGAGAGCCCTTGGATTCAGAGTACTCCACCCCAAAGTGCCGCAGGTGGGCACGTGCGTGGCTGGACAAGCCCTTCCTAGTCTCGAACCAGGCGCCACACAGTTGGCAGACGATGTCCTTGTTGGGGTCCACCTCCAGGGCTGCACATGGAGAGGAAACAACTTCATCAAGACTCATGAGATCAACTATGTAACTTTTTACAAAAGGCTTTTTCAGACCAGAGGAACTTTTTCACAGTTCCAAGAATTCCCCTTTGTATTGTGTCCACACTATCAGGACAATGATCAATGGGCCTCATTCACCAACTGTTCTAAAGAAGAATTTCCTCTTAAAACCCACTCTCTCAGTTTTCACCAATATTCTGATATTCACCATGTTTGATTATTCGGGATTTGTTTTAGGTAAGAACAGAATCAGTGCACACTCCAGAGCAAACTGATGCACATTTTGTGCTGACATCTTTGAATAATAACTGGTTACTGCGTTTTCCTCAATTCTACAGTCATATGATATTAAAGGATTTAAATTACGATAACATTTTTATAATTTATAATATTTTTAAATCATTATTGTGATTATTTTACAAAGCATTATGGTCTTTAAAAAAAATGCAACGATAACACTTCAGTTCACATCCGTTATATCAAAGGGAACCATGCCATGTAATAATTACTGATTGATCACGCTAGAAATTGACACTGGTGGTTCGTTATTAAGCGTTTCGAGTAAGTTATTGATAACTTAAAGAAACACTGCATGAAATTATCCCCATGTACCGACTACTATCACTGAGAAAAGCTGCTAAGAGGCTGAGTGGGCTCTTCACTGTGACTCTTTAAAAGAAATCCATGCCGAAGTCCAAAGATGCGTTTTACGATGATTTATTAGACAAACTACTGGATAACTGAAGCAAAATGAGATGAAACAAAATTTTATTAATGTGATGAGGCCTGCGTTACTGCGATTATGTGATTGCAGTAAGGGTCGACAGAAAATATTGGAGCCAAAAACTCACCCTCTTTGTCTAAGAGCCGCCACGCCAGTGAGTGATCAGGTAAAATAATGTGAAACCACACCCCTGTGCCAGTTACTACAGGAAGTGAAAGAACGTGTGCGGCCTAAACAAATAATAAACAGCAGAGGTTAAATACATATTCTCCTTGGCTCCTTCACCACCTTCACCTTCTCTCCCCTTCTCCCTGTGTCTCTCCAACAGACACATCGCCATGGCGCTCGTCTCTGTCCTCAGTCCTGACAGTTGTGCTACTATAATTCACACAGTTTGCAGGTCAGATGGTTTATTAATCAACGCATACTTTTAGCATCTCGTGAATCTTTTTTGTGCTATTTTTTAATCCACTCTACTACAAAATATGACAACTCGTTTGGCATTCGCTTCCTGCAGAAGCACCTTTTATGTTGTGAGTCCGTGCTCCACCCTCTTTAGACTTTTGTTTGGGCATTTTTGCCGTACTTCTCTCATATTCCTTTTCTTCCTCTTCTTCACTTTCTGTGTGCGCACACAGCCCTGCAGTCTCACTCCCTTTTATGGGGATTTGCAGGGCCTGTGCTAATTAGGATCAATTGGCACACACTTTAAACTCATGAGGACAATGGGTTTCATCATTATAAGAACGCAGGTGCGAACAATTCTGCAGTTTAAGAACACGTTTTTAGGATCTTTTTTTAAGAACAAATTTAAGAAAAAACTTCGGAAGGTATTGGTGAACCCTCCCAGCACAAGAAGTGAGTGAAGTGTTCTGTGCAATGATTGGTGGAACACTCGAACCAATGCAGCACCAGCAACTGCCATTTTAAAAAACCTGTTAGACGTGTAAACAACAGATCTCACATAATACAAACAGCTCATAAGAAGTGGATAAAACAACAGATTAATGGACCGACAGTGAAGTCCAGGATCTACTGAGCATACATGTGACAGTGGAAATACAACGTGGTTTTGACTTGTCAAAGCGAATCGCCAGCTGGCTTACAGTGTGTCACTTCAGTGCTCCTACTGGCAGTGCGAATGCAACCAGAAATAAAATCCCTTTAAGGTATGTAGTTTTCGGGGAGGTCCCCAGTGGGCAGTATCTCTCGGGAAAGCACCTACTGTTATCAGAGACACTTACTGAGGTTGAGAGGGGCGTCATTCTCCTGTGGTGCCCAGAGAGGTTTGGTTGTGACGGTGGCTGGGGCGGAGAGGTTAGAGGTCAAGCCTTTCATTCCCCCAGCCTTGTGCTCTGGCGAGCGCAAGGGGGAAGACACGGGCAGCAGAGAGGAAATGGGGGCTTTCCTCACTACTGCGGAAGGGGAGCCAGAATGAGGCGGAGCTGGAGAAGCACCAGGAGAAGGTGTCGGCGTGGAGGAGGAAGAGGGTGGCACCGCTTTCGCTGCTTTGGCCAGGAGGGAGAGAGGGATGGGCTTCTCGTCTAAGTCCATGTCTTCTAACTCCTCATCTTTCTGAGGAACAGACGGTGAGGAGTTCTTGGCTGGGAGTGGCTCCAGAAGAGATGAGCCGGTTTGGCCGTCGATGTTGCGCTCCTTGGCAATCTGGTAGAGGAGATCGATGGGCGCCCCGCTGCTCTCCGAGACGCTGATGCCCAGCTGGCGCAAGTGAGAGCGGGCGTGGCTGGAGAGTCCTCGCCTGGTCTCAAACTGAGCGCTACACACCTCACACTTCAGGTTGTGGACTGCGAAAGAGGAAAGAACAGTTGGTGAGACGTTATAAATAAGCACTATGCTACATTTCATTAAGATTTCAAAGCAACTGTTATAACTGATATCCCGTTCATGTATTCTCTTCAGTATTTTTCAGCATGGATCTATTTTCCCAGGTCTTTGTCTCTAGGTGACCCGTGGGAACAACAATATTTGAAATTGGTCCAGTATTGAGAGGCAAACAGGCTGTAATATAACCACTCGGGGCAGGTGCACCCCGTCACTTTATGTCTACTACAAGTGCTTGTTTTTGCCACTGACAGGCTCAAATTGTTATTACGAGGTCTTACCGCATTACGGAAAAGACCCTGCAGGGAAATGAAGTGTTTTATGGTAACTTTCGCTTGCTCCATTCTGTTTTGTGTCCACGTCTCATTAACGAGAAGTCTCGCTCTGAAATCTCACGGGAGGTGACTTGTTGCAGGAAGAAAACGGTGTTTGAGAGTTGGAGAGAGGAGTGGCAGCGATAGTTTGTTGTGTTGGAGTACAGAAAGTGTGTCTTAGGGCTTTTTAAACTGTAATCCATTGAAAATTGTCACAGAGAAACCTTGCAAACTGAGTTCCACACATTTTATTGTTGTATTTGTTGCGAAAATTCATGATCCCATTTGCTTCCTTGCTCCTCTCCTTCTCACTGGAGGTACTTCACCACTCTCCGCTCACGTCTCACATTTGACCAGCGGCTACCTGAGTTATGAAATGATACTGTGCAGCTATTAAACTGCACTGCACTCTTCTGTAGGCACCATCATAGCTGCCTTTCTTTATAGGCTGCTGTTACCTTCTCTTTACTGTGAAAGATTTTGAGAAGGACACTGCATTCATATATTTCCACTCCTTTTTCTTGTTGGCCTGCTGTCCACTTCTAATTTGTTCCTCTCTCTTGTTGCAGATATATGCATCCTGTAGGTTAAGCCACACTTTCTTCACAGCTTTTCATTTAAACAACTTGTTTGATGGATGTGGAAACAGTCAAAAAATTTAGCCGGTTACGAAAACTTTAGCGACAGACGAAGGTTTCTAAGTAGGTGTGTAAACGTGATTGACACATTGTGAGGTTGTATTTTTTTTGGATGAAAAATACAGACTTGGTGTGCAAAGACCTTTACTCTTCTCTGAAAGATTTTCAATGTCATGGCTGAATATTTAGCTGATTCCTGCGATGTGAAAATTCCTGCAAGATTTCAAAGCCAGTCATCTCCTTCAGCCAGGCGTGGACACAAAACGGAACGGTAAAACAAACAGGTGCAGGAAAACGTTTAATTTCTCTGTAGATTATCAGACACTTATATTAAAAATCTGAGTCTATCGGAGGCAATAACAAGAACATTTAAAGCTTCAGTGTATAGGATTTAGGGGGCGTAATGGCAGAAGGGAATATACATTCATAACTATGTATACTTTAGAGTATAATCACCTGAAAATAAGAATCACTGTGTTTTTGTTACTTTAGAATTAGCCGTATCTACATATAGAGCGGACCCTCTTCCAAGGAGTCTGCCATGTTGTTTCTACAGTAGCCCAGAACAGACAAACTAAACACTGGCTCACCATAGCTCTCCTACATGCTTTGCACATGGAAGAAGTTTCACTTGGTTGCAATCTGCAGCCTCGTCACTAGATGCCGTTAAATCCTACACACTAGACTTTAAATGGACGGGGTGCACCTGCCTGAGTGGTTACACTGGAGCCTTTTTCGCTGCTGCTAGGTGCAGCGCTTTCTCAATACTGGACCTATTTAAAATGTTCACTTCACTTTACGATAAGCGTCCACTGGGTGTTTTTTGATGCTTCACAGCATTGAACATGATCTTACCACTCAGCCTGTGGACTGTCTGCTACCAGATTTCAAACAGGACCACTATGGCGGCTGGTGGAGACTTTCATTTGTACTACAAAAACCGTTAACTAAAATATGTTTCTGAAGACATTTAAGGCAAGAAACGGTTAGTTTAAAAGTTTCTGGGAGTTTCCAGAGGCGGCAGCTGATGCTGGACGCCCCTGATTTGCATAAAGTAATTTAGTAGCTTGGTAACTTGGGCACGGTAGGAATCAATTGCACCTAATATGAAGACTCCCTTGGGACACAGACGTGGCGCGACATGTCTGCCACAGCATGCCCACAGCAGAGTGCGACCATTATATTCAACTGAAGCTGCTACACTGACCATGGAAGCCACGATTGTCAGCGCAGGCAATTTGCTGCTCAACGTCACGTCTACACGACTGGTCTATTTTTCCTTCTACTCCACAGCCCGGCCTCCAACACGTAAAAAAAAATCAACTAGTAAAATCAATGCATCCGGTAGTTTGAATGATCCAGTTGATTAATTTAAGTTAACATGGCGTCACATCCCCGTCACAGTTCCCCTTTAACCAAGTGCAGCATTAACTTGAAGTTTGCAAAGCAACAGCAGGAGGCCCAGGTTCTTTCAGAGTCCGCGCATCTCCCAGAGGACGTGTCACCTCACTTACCCTCCCTGTCTACATCCTCACCCAGTCTGCACGAGCACCCGCTGAGTGTTAGAGGTGCTCTCATTAGCTCCTAAATACATTTGTCTACATCTGAGGATTTCCCCGGGGGGGGCGGCCCTCTCTGATGTACTGTTGCCACTCCTCAACGTCGACCTGGGGGTCAGCTTTACAATTTCCCCACTGACAGCTATGATACGGCTCTGCTGTGGCAAATCCAATCCCCTGTCAACACTCTGGGGTCAGCATTCCCATTTTTCTCCCTCACCCTTGGAGTCTGCATCCCCATCCCCAGGAGAGAGGCTGTCTGAGTCCACGCTGCGCAGCCCTGTTTTCCCGGGGCTCGAGCTCACACCATCCAGAGCTGGACGCTGAAGCTCCTCCTCATCCTCATCCTCAGCTGCTTCCTCCTCATCACCTAAAAACATCACACACAACATCCATATAAGTGCAGGAATGTCTTAGTTAGCTGCCATAATTAACGTCTATGCTTCCTTTTAAAGCATATAAATGCATCTTTGAGTGATAATAAATAAGACGCAGGTTGAAAGCAGAGAAATCTAATCATATCTTGTGAGCTCAGTGCCTGTAATTTATCAGTCCTTGTAATAAAGGCGCGTTATTACGTCTTCTGTGAGGAGATGCAAGTGAAAATTATCCCAGTAATGAATCCCTGTCACAAAAAGTGATAATTGCACTAGTGTCTGAAACAAACATGGCAGTCTTGGTTCCCCGCAGTCAGGCTTTCCTGGGACAAAAGTGCCATTTTCTGCGACAAATCGGTAAATCAAAAGAGACGTGGAGACAGACAATGCTTTCTGTCTGGTGGGCGGCTCTGCGCTTGTCAGTTCATCTCTTGACTGTAAAAGAGCGATGTGACACCTCGGAGCGCAGCGTTATAACACCGTCTATTATAATGAAGACAACACCACACAATCAAACGGGTTTTTATAAAACGGGACAAAGTAGCAAAGCGCTAACTTGACTTTGGATCCATTCAGGCGGAGTGACACGGAGCAAACCCGACACTTGAGAGTAAAAGTGAGACTTCGATTATACTTGGTTGATCCGGATAAGTTGTAATAAGATCACCGGCTATGATCGCCAGCAGTCCACAAAGTTACCTGAGCGATCCCACTCTTAGTTTGATGTAAAAACATGCACAAACGCGTGCACTTGAAAGCACAGCGTGTCCTCTATCACAAATCAAAGCAAAGTAAAATGGCGAGGATTGGGCAACTGTAGGTAATTTTAGAGATCCTGCAGCATTGGAAATACTGGACGTCATCCCAGACGTGCACAACACAAAACCTCTCAGACATGTAAGAAAACTGAACCAACAAGATCACAACAGAGCTAAATCACCACTATTGATCCGCGCGTGCAAAACGGGAACACCCGAAACAATAACAATGACCCGCTTTATGAGCTTTTGACATGCATGTCATAGGCTACCTGCATGGCTGCGCGCGCGACATTGATTTTCTTTACATAGTCTCACATGATGAGGAGTTTTTAATGGCTGTTGTCTGGCTACGATGTGACAGAAGATGCGGCGCGAGACGCGCAGTGCTACGCCGCCGTGTGATCCGAGGGCACGCGGTGCACAGGAATTACAGCGCGCGGTACTCACCGGTCCGCAACCGCAGTGCATCGGACTCCCCGGCAGCTGAAGCCAGACAGTTTTTCCGCTATTGTTTGGGTCTACGGGGAGGTGGAAGCAGCCATTTTGCCCCCATATGCACCGCTAAGCTAAGGCGTGACCAATCGAGTGGAGGCGGAGGTTGGGATAAATGCACCGAGTGCCACATCAACCGCGGGCATCAGGGACTCTGTCTCTATCTCTCTCACGCACACACACACACACTCACACACACACTCTGTTAAGGCTGATTTTCTCGACAGCCAACATCCTGATTCAACACTTCACACATTGCACAGCGGTGTCACCCAGGTCACAGTCCTGATTTTATCTAGAGAAAAAGCACCTAAAACAACATCAACAGCGTCTGAACTCACATTTCCTGCATCTTAATGCACTTATAACACTCTTAATCATCCATCCAGGCATCACCACTGGGATCTAGATCATCTGTGCATCCTGTGCCAAGTTCAAAGTGCCAGGTCACCAGGTAACAACTATTAAAAACACCACCAACCACCACACAAAAAAATAAGTAAGCTGCATTTCTACTTTTAAAGATGGATCAGTGATGAAAACTTACCTGCGCTCTCTTCTCCACCGTCCTCCTTCTTGCAGCGTTGAGGAGACGCTGAAGGCAGTGCATCAGAAACAGCAGCACTCAGCGTCCTCTCACTTGTCTCCCCCTCAAGCTTTACCTCAACGACACCCTCCCCTTCCTCCTCTACCTCCTCCTCATCATCCTCCTCGTCCTCCTCCTGTGAGGACCCGGGGCTCCGAGGGGGAGCCGTGGGGATTACAAGATCGGGCCTGCTGGAGAACAGCTCCCTCAGGATGTGGATTGGCGAGATGGTAACATCCCAGTTGGTGATGCCAAAGTCGCGGAGGTGGGCCCGGGCATGGCTGGACAGGCCGGCCCGGGTGTCGAAGCCTGCGCTACAGAACTCGCAGTGCATCACGCTGAATGTGTCCGGGTCGAAGTTGGCGACTGTGGAGAGGACAGTGGAAGTTTAGACATGTGCAGTGGGATATTTTACTGTCCTCTGATCCTAACCTTTTTGAGAATTTGAGACCAGTTCAACTGAAGACTGATGCTGGTGGTGTGGCCCAGGGGTGGCCATGTTGGTCTGTTAGTGCAAACCACTTTGTTTCAGACTGAATTACCTCAACGACCTGCCATGCAAATTGTTTTGCAGACATTCATGTTCCCCAGAGGACGAATCCTGATGACTTTGGTGGTCCCCTGACTTCTACTCTAGCTTCACCATCCATCAATCCGTCTATCCATTTTCATCCCCTTATCCAGGGCTGGGTTGCGGGTCAGAAGGCCAAGCAAAGCACCCCAGACGTCCCTCTCCCCAGCAGCACTCTCCAGCTCCTCCTGAGCGCCCCAAGGCGTTCCCAGGCCAGATGAAATATGTAATCCCTACGGCGTGTTCTGGGTCTCCCCTGGGGCCCTCAACCAGTGGCTCTAGCTCCACCATCAGGATAAAATGTGTGGTTTTGAGTGAAATGTCTCAACAGATATTGGATGGCTCGCCATTAAATTTGGTACAGACAATCAATCAGTCAGACACCTGCAGGATGTTCAGAACACTGCTGCCCAGACCTCAATAACACCAGGAAACTGAAACACATCGCCCCAGTTCTTTGATCCTTGAACTGGCTTCCTATGAATCAAAGAATTTATTTCAAAGTATTATTAGCCTACAAAGCACTGAATGGTTTGGGGCCAAAATACATATCTGATATGGTGCTCTGTTACGAGCCATTCAGAACTCTTAGATCATCTGGGACAGGCCTGCTCCCCGTCCCCAGGGTCAGGACCAAATGTGCTTTTTAACAGCTTTCTGTTATTATGCGCTGAAGATCTGGAATACACTTCCTGAACACTTGAGGACTGCCCCAACCCTTTCATCTTTGAAATCGAGGCTTAAAACTTTCCTGTTTGCCACAGTTTTATACTTCTGCAGCTCTTGAATACTTCCACGTTACCATTTTTTTTGTTTTGTGTTGTCTTGTTTTTATGAATTATCTTTTGTTTTATTTGTTTAGTATGTTTCTGCTTATGTAAAGCACTTTGAATTTCCTTTGTGACTGAAATCAAATTAAATGACTGCAAACAGACATTTATGTTCCCCTGAGGATGAACTGTAATCACTTTGATGACCAACACAGACTGTATAAATTAATGGACGTAACCACTGGTTTGTGGACGACCATTTAGAAGCCTTGAGTCTGGCATTTTGGCTGTTGACATCTTGGGTTTTTGGAGACAGAAGTGACCATATTTGGACGAGAGGGTGGAGCTGTGGAGGCGCGAGATGTGACTATGGACCTGAGGACGACACCATGGTAGCGACTTATCAATCACAAAGTAGCCACTAGGGGTGGGGTAAATAATCGATTTTTAGATGCATCGAGATTCTGTCTTGAACGATGCAAGCATCGATTTAGAAAACTCATAATCGATTTTGATTTTATTTTTATTTTTGAAATTACCATAACTCCTCGACTATTCATGCTATCGACGTAATTCCAACGGATTCTGAAAGCTGAGAAGCAGAGCTTTTCAACAATATATGGTATATTACGGTAGTGACGTCATTACCTGTGGAGCAGGGGATGGAAGTGAGCACAGCAAGAAGAGAGTGACAGCTGACGAGGAGAGTGACAGCTGACGAGGAGAGTGCAAGTTGGAGTCATTTAGCGGTGTTTTAGCTGAGTTTTGGTGAGTTTTAGTGGAGTTTGGGTGGCGTTTTCTTTGTAAATAATATTGTGTTGTAAATAATAGTATTTGTGGGGTTTTTTTTTGAGAGCTTTTGAGTTTTTTTAATGCCATGTTTTTGAGCGTTTTTTGTTGTGTTTTCGTCGTGTTTTCACCATAGTTCGTAGTTTTGCCATCGTTCATCTTTTTGCAATAGTACATGTTTTTATACTTCATAGATAGTTATAGTCAGTTATAGTTTTGTAAATACTGGAGGAGAAATGTCGAGGAGGTCAACGAGGGACAGGAAAGTCCCCTTGAGATTTGTGGATGAGGAGGATGGACCGGAGGAGACTGGTGGAGTGTAGTCATCTCAAACACAGTAAGTAATACAGTTTGTATGCACTGGATATGTGTTCCCAGCTTTATTACAACAATGTTTTTCAATATCTAGGGAAAATTTTCTTATTGGCTCGTTTTAGAATTGAGAATCATTTTATAATCAAAATTGTTGCCCTCGGAATCGGAATTGAATCGAACTGTGAGGTGCCTAGAGATTCCCACCCCTAGTAGCCACGCCCTAAAGCATACCCTGATTTATCATCTATTTTACTCTAAATGTGACCATAATTTACAAAATGAACATCATGCTGTATTGGTGAAGACTTGGAACTAGTGATTGAGACCATAGACTAATTAGGAATATGTTTGCTGAGGTAATAAATCAAGTGAGAAGTAGGGTCATTTTCTCGTAGACTTCGATACAATTGGATTTTGTGTTGCATGTTAAGCTAAGATGGTGAACATGGTGAACATTATTGGCCCTACTTTACATCCAGCGCAACTCTCATTGCTAGTTTCAAACCAGCACAGTTGTCATTTTGACAGACAATTGTGTCCATCTGTGCACCCATGAGCCTTAAAATGAGGTGTGGTCAGGAACATTGTTGGTGTGTTGCTATTTTGAGGCAGCAGAAAGCAACTGTACTACTGACCAACAATAACCTGGTCTAAAGTCAAAATGGCACAGCATTATCCTGCTACTTACAGGACGCATTAAGCAGACAGTGTGATGTCACCATGTGCATATAGTCTGCTTGTTACACACACACAGGGACATGCGCATGGGTTATGGGTGAGTGAAATAATACATCATTAATGAGGAAAATACTAATTATGCTCTCAAAAAATGTGAACATAGCAGAGAGCAGAGCAGAGCTGTAGAGCTGCTGTCCGACTCCCCAATAAAGAGATGCTGTGCACATTTACGCACGAGGAGCAGCGTAACGTCACTGATTATTTCAGAAGCTAAAAGTTTCCTTTTAGTTTAAAACTACAAATTTAATTTTGCTGTATTAATGTCCCACATTATTTGGTGCAGTGAAATTAGTGTTACTGCATTACTCTCAGCAGAAGTACACTTTCTTCTCCAGTTTGCTGAATCCACCATGTACATAGCAGTGCGCCAGGTGCAGGTTCTGGCTTTTAAAGGGAATGGGAGATGACACTCTGAATAGTTCAATTCATGTTATGTAAAAACACACCTGTGATTAATTAAGGAACTAAATACAACCCCTTTGCTCCTTATTTTATGCCAACATTACGCACTGTTTAACTTGCAGGAGTGGGGCTGGACACGCCCTAAAGGCACTTGTGCCATGCACTTCAGACCATGTGCTACGGATTGTTTAAATAGGACCCTGTACCTTTTTATTCAGTTTCCTAATGCTGCTTTTCATCTTGCGAGCCCTCAAATTTATGACCCATACTTCCCCAGATTGTGAACATCTGCTTTATGATTTAGAAAACACTTCTAAAAGCGGCACAGTGGTGCAGCGGTTAGCATTGTCGCCTCAATGCAATAGAGTTCCTGGTTCGAACCCCAGAGTGAGGGAGCCCTTCTGTGCATAGTTTGCATGTTCTCCCCGTGTCAGCGTGGGTTTTCTCCGGGTACTCCAGCTTCCTCCCACAGTCCAAAGACATGCAGGGATAGGCTCCAGCCCCCCCGCCTACCCCCACCCCACAACCCCTGAGAGGATAAGCAGTTATGGAAAATGAATGGTTGTAAACCACAGCTTTATGTTACAGTGACCAAATGCTGGTTACCAGAAATTTAATTTAAAAAGATGAGAGCTCCAGAAAGCAGAGAAAATCTAAATTTATACATTAGCTCTACTGTGGCTAAGAAAACAGGCATTCAAGTGAATTATGGTATAGCTAATATCCACTGCGGCTCATGCCAGGGTCATTATGTCAAGCAGAAACAAAGACAACCAGAAAAGCCACTGTCTGTCTGGGCTTTCTGCTCAGACAACATCTGCACAGCCTAAAGAAAAACATGCAACAAGCCGCTGACCTTTTTTCTTCTTCTTCTGATAGGAGAACTTCTTCTCAATAGCATTGACTTCCTCGGGGGATATGAAGTGACGCACATTGTAGCTGACGCCCACTCGGTTCAGGTGGCCTCTCACGTGATTGGCAAGCCCAATGCCATTATGAAATCGATCGGGGCAGTAGGGGCATTTCCTCTCCACACTCTTGAGCGCCTCCGAGTCCTCATCAATCTCGTCTGGGTCTTCATCCAAGATGCCCTCTGACAGGAAACGCCGCACGCGCTCCTCGTCAATGTCGTCGTCATCATCATCACTGTCAATTTCTGCCGGGGCAGCAGTAACCCGGTTGCTCCTCCTCAAAAAGAAAACCTTTCCATCTTTCTCCACTTCCAGCTTGTCTTCGTCCTTCACATTCTTCTCAGGAGGGAGCGATAATGTAGCACTCTGCTGTGCTGAGCAGTCGTCTATAAAGAAAAAAAATCAATTCTGAATAATCAGACAAATCCTGTTTAAACTGAACAGTGCGCCTAACTTAAATACTACATGTGAATCTTTTGTTTTAAATGAAGACTCCAGCAGGGCTCCTTTCAGAGGTTAAAGTCTGTTTGACCTGAGTCACTTCTTAAAATGTGTCAAAATATTTAGTGTCTGAGCTCAACAATGTCTCAACACTTTAAAGGATAATTCTGGTTTATTACATTTTATTCATCATATTCTCATTTTGTTTTTTACTTGAATAGTGAATTTATTTGTTTATACATATTTAATGAGCAATACTGGAGAGGGAAGACTTTCACTGACCATGACTGCTTCTGTCATTGCGAAGCATTGGTTTAACTTCTGCAGTGTTGCCCTCTAGCCACATCATTCTTATTAACAATAACTGCATTATACTCATCGAGTTATTCACTGACATCTTGGAAACCAACAACGTCACTACAAAGAAGTTCAACACTGTGGTTTAAAAACATTTTACTTCATGCTGAATATTGCTATGACATAAATTGCCATATATTACATTTTTTCAACTGCAAATTATGGCCCCCAGTCCAATATATCTCATGGAATGCTTCCTGAAGTCGAAATTCGACTGGGAATGTCAGAGGGACTTCACCAACTCCTACTTTAAGATCCAAAATGTCTGCTCCGTGCATCAACAAAAGTAAAAACTTTAATAATATACTGTTTATTAGCACTTCTGTCTTATTTGTGTCACTAACAGTCATACATACACAGTGCTACGGTATTTGTACACGCAAAATAGCCCACTGCATAATGTGTTTTTATCAGTTGGCATTGCTAACAATGGCTAGCCTGGCTTGAACTGCTACCGCTAACAACACCTTGGTTTTCTAAATTGTTGTACTCGAACGCGGTCTACTCAGATGTGACATCATTCCCAGCTCCGACCTTCAACTGCCGAGGTAAATGGAACGCAGCAAGGACTCTTTCAGGGGTCAGATATTCAGTTTTTCCAGTAAATTTTGTTTTAATGGTTTTAAGCTAAGCCTGTTTTACACTAGCAAAAATTAGCATTAGCATTATCACAGTTCACCAAAGCTGTAAATGCACCCAGCTACCAGCTAGCATTAGGGTTATCAAAGACGGTGGATAAACCAAGACAGTCCACTGCGAGTCAGTTTCCTGTATCAGTGTCACGTGGGGTTCGCGACCACCACGCCCCTTTAGGAGACTAGCAGCAGGTCCTGAGTCCATTGACTTCAGTGGGAGAAATGAACGTGATTACAGATTATGGCCGATTATTTCGCCCCATAGTCATGGAAGCAAATATTGGACCCATTTATCACAAGCCACATATCTTCAGAACATTCTGACACCAAAATGGCAAATTTCAGACGGACAAATCAGGAGAAAATTTACTTTGTTCAAGACCTGTCTCTGTCTCAACAACACACTCTCTGGAGATCTGGCAACAGATATCTCCTCTCTGGTGCTGAAATCTGTGCAGTTTCACCAAAGATACTGGATTAAAAAAATATTTTTCCAGCGGATATCTTAGTTACAATATGACTGAGCTAGCAAAGCAGTTTTGTGTTGCTATGTGTGGTATTTATTCAGTTTTGTCTAGAAAGCATCAGTGGCTGCAGCTGACAGGGACAGCTAACAGCAGCAGCAAAGCTAACATCAGGATGTCATCTGTTAAAAGCCTCCTGTTGCTGGATACGACATGAAACTACTCCAGTTAGCTCAATCATGTTGTAACTAAGACATACGCTGGAAAAAAAAAAAATTTCACGGACTGTTTTATTTATTTAGCTTACAGCCAGTAAGGGTACACACATGTTGACAGAAGCGAGGTTGGGGATACTCGTCTTTGATTGGGGTACGGGGGACAACGCCTACTTAGGAGACCGGAAATGTAAACCATTTCATACAATGGGGGTATATTGTAGGTGGGCCATCTTGTAGTAATCCAGTATCTTTGGGGTTATCTTCACCCTCTCAACCAAATATGGTCACTTCTGCGTCTGAAATCCAAGATGGCAACTGCCAAAATGCTAAACTAAAGGCTTTAAAATTGGAGTCCACAAACCAATGAACAACTTTACGGTGGCAACAAACAATTAACTTACCAATGCTAAAATACTCCATGAAGCTGGGGGCAATCGTTTTGGACACCTAAAAAAGTCTTGTTCATCATTTAGTTGTATTAAAAGACTCTCTAAATCTTTTTTTCACTAGCGAAAATTAGCAATAGCATTATCACAGCTGTAAATGCACCACGCTAACCAAGCAAGTAGCTAGCATTAAGATTATCTCCACCCTCTCATCCAAATATGGTTACTTCTGCCTCCAAAATCCAAGATGGTGACTGCCAAAATGCAGAACTCAAGGCTTCAAAATGGGAGTCCACAAACCAGTGGGTGACCTCATGATAGCAATGTCCAACATTTTACATAGTTTATGGCCATTAAGTGAAAAAAAAAATATCTTAATGACTGTTTTGGTCGCATGAAAAAGTCTACTAAAATACCTTCTAAAGAATTGGATGTTCCGTTGTTTTTTTAAGTAGGCTACATGTTGTCTTAATGGTTTTAACATTTAGTAAAAATGAGCATAAACATTATGTGAGTTAGTGTTAGCTGTAAATGTGCTAACCAAGCTAGCAGCTCACTTTAGGGTTATCGCCACCTTCTGGCGATGACCAAATGCTGACCTTGAGGCTTCAAAACGTGCGTCTACAAACCAGTCGGTCACAATGGCTACGTCCATTATTCTATACAGTCTATATCTGTTATGTGAAAACAGTTAGCTTAACGAGGTGAGGAGAACAGCACAGTCAGGTGATAACTCTCTTTGTCACGATATGCAACACCCTCCACATTACACATAGTAATTTGATCCACTGTTTATAATAAAAATATTGATTAGGGAAGCTTTAATTATTTCTGTATAATCAGGGTTTTTTTAGTAAAATTAGAAGAAAAAGAAAGATGTACGGGCATATGTGACTTGGTTGACATAATAACTTTAGTCTAACCTCAGCATTAGAGTCTTCAGTCGTAAGTTCAGTCTCACCTGCGTTAGCTCGTGCTCTGGTGTGCGGTTTAACTCCAGCAGGTGAGTTGGCCTCCCGTTGGGAGCGCTCAGTGTCAAGCTTTGTGCTCCCATCTTTGTCCTTCTCTTCCTCTTCACTCCCGGGCAGCTTGTCATCATCCAGAAACTTGGCCAGATCCGTCCAAGTCTTCCCTCTTCTGCTAAATCTCCTGTTCCCAGTGCACTTGAACACCACCTGGCTTGTGGGCCGAACTGCGGCTCCGTCTGGCTTTGTGCTGTCCTCAGAGGCAGTGACTCCCTGCTGGCTTTTGCCTTGAGTTGCATCGGGTGAGGATCGAGATCCAGGCCCAGAGAGATGGTCAGAATCTATGGTGGGGGGTTTTGAAATTCGAGCACCCGCATTAGACCTTGAATGCTGGCCAGTGTCATCAACCTGCGCCCCGCTGACGGAGGCCTGTCCTGGGTGAACAAGTTTCTGGTGTTCCCTCATTACAGTCTGACTTGAGGTCAGGAAGGCACAATGACTGCAGGCCAGGGAGGTGGACGCCACGCATGATGGTGAACCTGGGGATGGGGAGTCAGCCTGGAGAGCGGGTTTTTTTCTGTTGTGGGTCTTGGTGTGATTAGCCAGTGCCTGGGAGGTTCTTGTGCTGAAGTTACACTTGGTGCAGACGAAGCGGCGGCGGCAGGTGGAAACAGCTCGGGCCTGAGCTGGAGTTCGGACTGAATTTGGAGGAGTGGCGTCTGAGTCGAGAACTGCTGGGTCTGTGTCTGGTGTTGAAACTGGGGCTGGGGAAAGAGGTGGAGATGTGACTATTTCTGGGTCTGACATTTTGCCTGGAATCGAGGCTGGGCTTGTGTCTTGCATAATCGCAGGGTCTGAGCTTATATGCTTCACCGTCTTACTGTTGAGCTTCTCAGTCTCTTTTGCCTTCCCATTTTCATTCAGTTTCTCAATCTCCTCTAAGATCTTTAGACGGGACTCCTGGTGCTTTCTGTGGTGGTCTGCCAGCGCGAGCCGATTTGAAAGGTTCCACCCACACTCGATACACCTAAAGCGGCCGCCCTTTCCTAAACGCCTGCCCCCCGCTGCACCGCTCTGACAGTGCTCAACTATGTGCTCCTGCAGGTGGACCTGCTTTTTGAAGTAAATGCTACATTCCACACAGGTGAAGATTTGTTTGCCTGGCTCTCCCCCACTTTGTTCCTCTTCTTTGTCCCTTTTCCCTCCTCTGTCTCTGAACTTTATCGGCTCCTCCACTGTTGCCTCTCCAAAACTGACTTCCTCGAAATCATAAACCCCTCCACCTCCACTCTGTGCTGTCTCACTGGTTTTTGATTTTTGAGGACTCACTCTTGCCCTCTTTCCTGTCTCAGGCAATGTTCGCTTCAAGGTGCCAAGTCCGGAGAAGGGCCTGAGCAGCACCCTCTTCTTTCTGCACCGCTGAATAAATGTGCAATGAGCCCAGGGGGCAGGAGGGGGACTCTCCGGGTCTGAGTCTCCAGGGAAGGTGTACACATCTCTCTCAGGCTCCTTGGTTTCTTTTCCCTTGGGCCTCTTCTCTCCCTCGCTGTTGTCCGCCTCCTCCTCCTCCTCCATTTGGCAACCTTCCTTTGGTTTTACTTTGGACAGAAACAGCTCGGCTTCCTCGGATACATTCCACACTTTGCTGTCTGCCACTGCGAAGAGAAAACAGAGGAATTATGAATGGAAAGAGCCCTAAGATAAAAAGAAAGTTATCAAGTGTGCAGGCAGATTTTGTTTCTTCCTTATGCTGCTTACACTCTGTTTGGCCAAGCTGAGATGTATTTGGCTCTTCTGTCTTTGTGCTCTCAGTGTTGTTGTTGTCGCTGAGCCCCTCCGCAGGGGGAGACGAGTCAGTCTTATTATGCAAGTGCTGCAGTTTTTCAGGTTCTTGGTCATCTTCACTATCAAGTCTGGACAGCAGTGGAGAGGAAAAGCATTGAGAGGCAATTCTAAAAGAAGCATCTCTGCCTGAAACAAATCAAAATTACAGACCAAGAACAAGCTCTTCTTATTCTCACACTTTGAGAGTTCATGTCCATTTTTACTGGAAATTATGTGGGTTTTTAAAAACACACACATGGTGGGAATTTTTCATGAAGATGCCAGTATTTGTGGACTCAGAATATTTAACCTCTTCCACTCCACCCCTCCCTACCATAGCCACCAATTTTGATCTTTTCTGGGGGGGGGCAGTGGACCTTTAGGGACAGATAGCAGGTCAACACTATATGCCACACAGAAGTGGTATACATCATTCAAAAGCTAGGTCCCTGAAGATTAATTTGAGATGCAGCTCAGCACTGTGTCAGTTTTTCTAGTCATATATCTGCAATAAATATTGTGTTCTGTCAGACGCCTGTTCAAACTTCGAGAGTTTAAGGTGCGTAGGGGCTTTTTCGGTTGTTTTTTACCACTCAAGAATCAATACAAATTGTCAAAAATTCCTCCAAAATACCACCATAAGACACTCCAACCCTGAAGAACATCATAAAAGAACACAAGCTGTCATTTGGTACAAAAACTTTTGACATTTGGAGATTTCTGTAAGCCTTCCCTTTTTTGACGATTGGATGGCGAGCTCTTCTGTTCTAGAGGCCGCCAAGAAACACCCTAAATGTCAATATACCTATGAAAGCCAAACATCGTCTGAATGCTGCAGGTCTCTAGTTTGTGGTTGCAAAGTTTCATGAGGCTGTGATTATCCTACAGGTCACTATAGACATTTTACACAGTGGTATCAGTTTTAAAAAACAGTCAAACTACAATGAAATGACTACTCTGGGGACGAACATCATCACACATGAATAAAACCAGGCTCGCTGAATCCACAGGAGTCTCAGCTTTCCAGTCAAATTTATGCAATTCCAAGAGTGTTTAGGGACCCCAGTATGCAGAAATATTCAAATACAATAGGCTAAAATAACACTGAAAAAATACTGCATGGTTTCTGCTCAAAACCGAATGGGACTAGCATAAAGTGTGCGTGTCTGTAAAGGGGAGACTTGTGGGTATCAACTGAACCCGTTATCAGTTAGAAATCTTGAGGTGAGAGGTCAAGGGAACCCTTTGAAAATGGCCATGCTATTTAGCCTGAGTTTGGAGCACTATGTAACCCTTCCCAACAAGATAGCGTGACGTGGTTAGCACCAATAGATTCCATAGTCTTCTAGTTGTTAGTAGTTAGTAGTTGAGTATCATGAAAAGCGCTCTATAAATAAAATGTATTGTCGTTAGTGGTTTTTACATGAGTAAGATTTTCACTCTAGGTTTAGAGGCCCTGATGAACCAAGTCAATGGTCGGCCACTGGTCAACGTTGGGTCATCTGAGAGCATCCATTGCCCTAGTTTTTGCTGTGTGTCCCTCACCATTGGCACACGTCAGCCCTGTTTGCCTGTTTTTGGGACTATTGACTCCCTTTCCACTTTTAAATCCCGTCTGAAAATTCTGATTTAATGGTGACACATATATTGAGTCTTGCACTGATGATGATTTTATACCTAATATTTATAATCATAATTTCTGTCTAGTCATTTTATCAACTTTAATTGTATATTACTAAATTGTCCGATTTTATGATCTATGGACACATTGCTGCTTGTTTTTTTAACTGTGTCTTGTAAGGTGTCCTTGAGTGCTCTGAGAGGCGCCTATAAATAAAATGCATTATGATTATTATTATTCAGCATGTCGAATTGGCTTCAGAGACAGCAGAGCCCATCGGTGAGAGAAAACACTCTGCTATAGGCAGTTCAGCTCAGTGCATTAAAACGAGAAATGGAAGTGAGGAAAGTAAACAAATGACCAAAGTCAGTAAGGGTCTGAGATCGAAACAAACTTTTTATATTAGGTGAGATCTTTTTTAACCATTGATCTCTAACTAAAACAGCTGTTAGTTGTTTGTGTTGCTGCTCACTAGCGCACAGTAAACATCATTTGTTCTTTCAACATCGGGTTGTGTTGTTAATATGCTAACAGTCTAACTAGCATCTTGAATCCTTGCGGTCAGTGATTTCCGCTTTTGAATGATTAATGCGCACTACCGCCGCCTGCGGCAGAGGAAAAGATATTTCCTCTCACGCAGACGCAGAATGTTGGCCAGTTGCCGCAGTCTTTGGTGTGCTCAAGGGCACTTCCTGGCCAAGATACAGGCAATGTGAGGGGATGTGACAGTCGGCTTTCATTGCCACTTGTTCTTTGACGTCGGTTTGGTGCGTCTGGGCCTTAAAACTCTGCCTGGTACAGCCTCAGAAAGACAGTAATGTTGACCAAGGACACTGGCGTCCGTTGAAGAGTGGAAGAGGTTAAATCTGATGACTTTTACAACAATAGAATAAAAAATACATATATAGGATTAAATATTTCTCCCCCATAATTTCATTCCTCGCAACATTTAGACCTTCAAGTTGGGAATAAAACAGTAACATTTTCTGGGTCTGAAGGTTTCCTGGAAGTAACTGAATAATTTGGACTTCTGATAGAATTTAGTTAGTAAAGTAATAGTTTGACATTTTGGGTAAACGTTAATTGACTTCTCTGCTGATAGTAATATTAGCAGTAGTAGCATGAAACAGTTTTTCAAAAGGAGTGCACATAATTAAGACTAAATAACAACAAGGCATTAAATTATAAAGATAAACAAAAGGAAAACATAAAAATATAGACAGAAAAAGTGTAGCCTGCCCTTTTTACTTAGCATATTCTCATAAATAACTCATTCGCCTCTGGGTTTAGGTTATACGAAACAAACAAACAAACAATAACAAAACAACAAAAAGAGAACCAACAAAAAAAAAGAGAAACAATACCAGATAAGAAGAGTTATAACTTGCTGGCTGTAGCTTGTTAGCTTAGCTTAAGACGGGACACAAGAAGCACTAATGACCTTCGTGATGTCTCTCTGTCCTGAACTAACCATCTGACATCACCACCAAACACTCGCTACCCTTCCTCCTGCACCTCCTCCTCCTCCTCCTCCTCCTCACCTGAGTCCAGAAGAAGGAGATCCTGGGCTGTGAGCAGCCAGACCATGAGGGTTAGAAAAGTGCTGTAGCTCCTCCTCTGACACGCAACAACAACACAAAACACACAACCACAGGAACATCACTTCACAGCTCAACAGTACAGTCCACAGTCAAAGATACAGTGCATACTGAGAGACTTCTGACTACATGCAGACTGAGTAACACTGAAAACAATCAGGGGACAACAATGATAGGTACACTGATGGCATCGTGTGTTAGCTAGAGTCACTACTGCTTCACTAATCACTACTGTGTGCAACAGGTGTCCAGGAGATATTAAGCCATGTGTTACCATCTAGTGTTTCTTTCTCAGAGTCAGAGTCCCAGCTTAGGGAGGAAGGAAAGGCCGAGGACCTGAATCTCCTCTGTGCGCTCCTCCCTGGCTCTGCACTGGGCTGAGGGCCTTCAGTCTGCTTGGGGCCCTCATCTCCAGCGTGGCCCCACGAGCATTTGGCAGGCATCAGGCCGTCTCTCACATTTGGAGAACGTGAGGACTAGAGGAAAATAAAACATACAAATCTTATTATTATTCAGAAGTAACCGGACTGGATCAAATCTTGAACGAAAAAACAAGATTTTGGTTTTGATCTGGATCAAACCGTCAGTATGTGTCATTTGAAACTATTTAGTAAGACGGGGATAACTTTGATCCCAAAAAAATTAGAATTATCCTGATCAAAGCAGAGTGGTGGATTTCAGGAATATAATGCAATAAAACTCAAAATAATATACATATTTTTACTTATATTTTGCACTTGATTTACTTAATCGTTACAATGATAAAGCAGACATTGGATTGCCATTACAGGAGAAGTTGATCTTTTGAAGTGGAAGTTAGTGCGGATTCACCAAAGTCACACAATAACACAAACTAACTAACTGATAAAGGCAGCGGTAGACCAGTGAGCCAAAAATACTGTTTTTGTGAAAGGAGTCTGGTGGCTTTGACAAGAGCTTAGATGGGGCACTGAAACTGTCACTGGCTTCCCTCTTGGGCCAGGCTGACTGACGGAGAGAGAATGAAAATATTCTAATTAAAACGTACACTTAAACTGACAGCAAGTTTTTAGGTGGCTAAAATACACGTTGCTGCTGCCCCCGTCCACAGCAGTACACTGATTAGCTTCCATTTCGGTACTCCAGCCTGCTTCTCCGAACTGGGGGTGTGCTGATAGACGTCTACTTCAATACAGTGACAATGGATAATCACCTCATAAAACCCCACAAACCGGAACTATCCCTTTCAGCATTTCAATACACTAAAGTTAAAATATATATTTTAAAAAAAGGATTTTGTCCCCATAAAATAATCCCCTATATCAGCGGTTCCCAACTGGTTTGCTACGGTCCAAAAGTAGGGTGCAGGTCCATTCTGAAAAAACACACTTTATTTTTAAGTGCAGTGAGTTTCCGGCACAGAGTTTTTATTTTGAAGTGCTATTTCCTGCTGTAGAGTGAGTGATTAACGGGTAGCTACTCAACAGAGACAACAAACTAGCTTGACGACATGGCCAAACACAGGTATGATGCTGAATGTACTGAACTGTGTGGAACCTGAACTAAGGACTAGGGAGAAGTCCAGGCAGGACCAGTTGGGAACCACTGCTCTAAATAGCTGTCAAAAATACTTAATTTTAAGTTAACTGTCATTCATCACTTTGCAATCATTACAATGACACAATCAAAAGTAGTCTTTAGTATTTGCATCCCCCATGTGGTTTATTGTCTCTTCAAATAAAAACACTCAAAGTGACCCCACGCTGGTTGTTCCACCTGTTCTTTACATACCTACATTGTGATATGTATGTAGTCCCATTTAGAGACTGGTTATCTGGATTTGGTGATCATTAAAAGTTTGTAGGCTGACGTTGCTGTGAAAAACCAGCACAAATTACAATGGTTCAACTGATCCTGGATAGCAAAACATGGGATTTCCAAATCCAGATCATTTTGATCCAGATTAAACTTTTGGAACACCTGAGGCCCAGGTGATGGAAATGACAGCGATGAAGATGAAGCAGCTGTGCACGGCTGAAGCAGGAAGTACAGTGACATTTACACCATAAACTGATGCATTAAAAAAAATCATTGGTATGGTGTTTAGTAAAGAGCACAATATGACTTGTGAAGGACTGGAAACTCAAAGTTTAGGACATACAATGATTCAGTCCCACCTCTGGCAGTATGCAACCTTTAAAGTGATGGTTACAATCTGCCATAAAATGGAAAAAAGATCATCATTACTCTTTTGTTAAAGCAGCTGTGCGGAACTTTCTGTTTTCGTTGACTATAGCGCCCCTTTGGTCGAAGCGGTATGACACCCACAGCCTGGTGTCGTAAAACTCCGACTGCAGCCTTCAGCTTCATTTGTAAAATCTCGACTGCAACCGGCAATTACCGCATGCATTTGTTTTGGAGAGCGAGAGGAAAATCATAAATGTTCTGGTGTAGCTCTGAGTTTCTTATAAACTGAGGACAACTGCCTGCTGTATATTTGTGTTCACGGTCACAGTCACAGATAATTTTGTGGCGTTTGTTGTAACGTTACTAGACAAAAGCGGTTCACATCAGCTAAAGTTACATTTAGCTTGTTTATAACTTCCATGTTGTCATATATTGAAGTGAAACAACGTCTAACAAGTTGAGGTATATTCTCTAAATAAAAACAAAAATGACATACCTGTCGATTAGGAAAAGGGCCAACTCGGGATCAGTTTTCAAACCTTTCAAATCTCTCAGCTCTCTCCACTTGGTGAATGCCCGACTGAGGTTGACACGCATTTGGGCTCGAGCCCTATCACTGTCCCTTTTAGCCTTCCTCTGTTCTCCTGTTCTTTTTCTTTTAGATGGTGCTCCTTCTTTATCCGCCATGACATCGAAAGTACAACCAAGTCCTTATAGATAGATCTGTTAAAACTGTTATGTGTTCAGCAATGCCCGTTGCGTACCGCTTACTCAAAGAACACTCTCTGTAAACACGGCTCTTCTTCTTCTCTCAATTTATTGGCGGATCGCAAACAACTTCCAGGTGCATACCACCACCTACTGTACAAGAGTGTGCAATGTGTCCGAAATCATTCACTGCTCCCTACTACATATCATTTAGCCTGTTTCTTAAATCCGACTCGTAAACACGGCTCCTTCTTCTTCTGTGGTTTAATGGCTGCGGGCTGCTGTGGGTGTGCAGACTTACTTCCGCCTCCAGGTGCCGTATTCTGGTTTGCTGACTTCCGCTGTGTCCGACCCGATCTAGGCTACGCTAAATAGCCATATAGAGAAAGGCTTTTTTGTCGCTGTTGGGTTCAAATAAATATGCAGATCTTCAAGGGGGGGGTGATACGAACTAGGGACAGTTTCATAAATGGTAAAAAGTTCCGCACATCTGCTTTAACGTTGTTCAGTTGGCATTACATTTAGTAAAGAGCGCAATATGACTTGTTAAGGACTGGAAACTCAAGTTTAGGACTTGGAACTTAAGTCTTGCAATATAGTGACTCAGTCCCACCTCTGGCAGTATGCAACCTTTACAAGTGACGGTTGCAATCTGCCATAAAATGGAGAAAAGATGAAGCAGCTATGCACGACTGAAGCAGGAAGTACCATGACTTGTCCACCATAAACTGATGCACAAATTGGTGCATTAAAAAAAATCTGGATTTTATAATATCAATGTGTCATTACTCTGTTGTTAAGTTGACATTACATTTAGTGAAGAATGCAGAAAATTGAGTGTGTGATGCTCAACATGCTTAATATGTGTCTCCCTAATTGTTGAAACAAACGTCCACCTTTGGTCTGACGTCGTTACCTGTAAGGTGCAGTTGAGGAAGGTGGGGGTGACAGGGTTTTGTGCTGAGTCGAAGGCTGGGGGCCCATAGCTGGTCCCTGGGGTTCGGGGTGGCCCTTCTGGCTCCATGGTCCCCCCAGAGAGCAGTATGGAGTCCCACTGGTGACCAGCTCTCCTACATTGTGCAGCCTCCTCTTCTCCTGCAAACAAGAGCACACACTGAACAACATGAAAGTTTCCCACAGCTTCAAAGTTCCACGCTCACATCCACATGCACAATGTTTCCCCAACACCCAGCAGACTGTGAGGAGGGATCAGAAGCATTAGGAGACAATATGAAAGTGTGAGATCTGCAGAAATGGTTTGGCTCTCCTCAGTATTTCCAATGCCAGCTGCAGTTTTCCTCCCGTCTGACCTATTTTCACAATATGTCTGGTCTTAAAGAATGAAACAGGGCGCTCAGATGGTTACATAAATAAGTGGCCTTTCTATTCAGGCCCATGTCCTCCCCTGCTGCCCCTCTGAGAAGCAGGAAAATACCCGGGTACATCAAGGTGTCCCGCGGGTTGGCCTCTGTGGCTCCAGAGGACGCAGCTGGTATCGATCCAGTGTCTGTCAGGTGACTAGAACAACAATGCATCCGTGCACAATGCGTGTTGGAGCCAGAAACGCCTTTGAGCTGCAGTTTTTTTTAGTGCAAATACTCACTGAATTCGGCCTGGTGTGCGGGTCGCAGTGAAAGCTGGCTGTTTAAGCGCCGTTCGTCATAGTTTGAGGACGGAGCTGAAGCTTTTACGCCCCGACACGATGCTCTCCGGAGGCTTTGACGGCTCCCAGGGACAAAGTTGCTCCGTTAAATCGCTGCTCGGGGTTTTGCATGGATCCCTTGAAGATGCCAGGCAGAGGACTCCATGTTATTTGGCTTGCAGGCACGCCACGGCTGCGTACGTAACGTCGACGGGGAGGGTGACGAGAAGAGTTTCGAGTCAAACACCGGAGACAAGTTGAACAAGTTCAACTTTTACCGGAGCTTCGCTTTTATTCGCCTTTCAGCCCGGTGACGGTGGAGAGGGTGTGTGTGTGTGTGTGTGTGTGTCAGACTGCGTGCTCACACGCGTTTATTCATTATGTCACTTTATTCTGCGACAAACACCGGACTGAACACTGTTAGCATGTCACACTGATGACGGTGATGACGTCAGACATTATTTTATGGAGACAGGTGAAGTATTGATTATTAATTGTGTCAGTTAAATTTGAGCTGTTGTCAGTTTGACCCACATGTTCAACACTGTGGTTATAACATGGATATAAAACACATCACAGACACACCTCGCAGTGTGAGGTGAGCACAGCTGCCTCAGTTTGTCTTTAAATAGACTAATACAACGTCCTTAAATACTGGAAATCAATAAACGCCTTATTACTGCCTATTACATGATCGTGTGGCGCCTTCTGCTGGCCGGATATGGAACTGTGTGAAAGACACTTTACACTTAGACTTGGATTTAGATCCTAAAAGTAGAAATACCACAGTGCAGAAATACTCTAAGTAAAACTCCTTAATTGAAAAAAATACTTAAATGAAATAGAAGTATTAGCGTTTAATTATTCTCACAGAACTAAAAGTAAAAGTATTCATTATGCAGAATAAAATGGTTATATTATAGGGTTATAATTATTGATTCAGAATACTTTGATGCGTTTATGTGTTCATCACCAATGCTGCAGCCACTGGTCAAAGTATAAATCCTTAACTTATGTGAAAGTAGAAGTACTCCATCACAAGACAAAAATCCTTAATGCCAAATGTTACATTAGTAAATGTACAAAAGTACTGATGAAAATGTACCTACAATACTTAAAGGAAAATTCACTCATTGTGCAGAGTGGACTGTTTCAGAATGATATTGTCATATATCACTGGATTATACTTATTGATGTATTAATGTGTTCATCACTAATGTTGTACTTCTCAGATCTCTTGCTTAAGTAAAAATAAGAATACCTTAGTCTGAAAATACTCCATTACTAGTCCATACCTATTGAGTACAGCATACCATACCATGACTTAGTCAAACCAACAATTAGAAGAAGAAACAACATTGGTCCACAGGGGGAGCTACAGCGATGGGTCGCATTTTAGCCATTTGTAAGCATTTTTCTGTTGTTATAGCGCCACCCAGTTGCCAATTAGAGTTAAATTTCTCCAGTCACCTTGAGGCGTCCTGTTCTACATATCTACCAAGTTTAGTAAAAATCCATATGGCGGTTAGGCCTAGATAAGAAATGAGCTCTCTAGCGCCCCCATTTTGTTTGATGGGGTCAATAATGGAGGGGTCCCCTCAGATTATGTGTGGTCATATGCCTACAAAGTTGCGTGGTGATGGGTGAAACCCTTGAGATGTTATACACCTTTATGTGATGAGCCACGCCCTCCGCAATATTCATTGCCTTATAGAAGCTCAGTTTTAGTAAGTTTTCCAACTTTTGCCAAGAGGGAACTTTAGATATTGGTCCCTAGATTATGTTCACCCAGTTTCATGCAGATCGCTCAAACTTCCTAGGAAGAGATCGATTTGAAGTGTTTTTCAAAAAATTCAAAATGGCGGAAAATCTATATAACCGGAAGTTATGGGTTCTTGAGGCAAATGTGTTCCTCATGAGGAGAGGCATCTCTGTGCAAAGTTTCATGTCTCTACGACATACGGGGCATGAGATATGCCCATTCAAAGTTTGCAACTTCAGTCGGTTGCTATAGCGCCCCCCTTTGGCCAATTGATGTAATATTGCTTCATTCGCATCCTCCCATGACCCTCTACCACTGTGCCAAATTTCACATGGATTGACCAAGTCAGTGAGGAGGAAAACGTGGAACAGACACACAGACAGACAGTCAGTTTTCGTCATTATATAGTAAGAGATGTAAAAGACCTGGGGCCACATTCACAAAGCTTCCTAGTGAAGAGTCGCTCCTGGTGACGAAACGACGAAAAGAAAATTCTTAGAGTTGTGACATTTTCTTAGAATTTTCCCCTTAAAGTTAAGACTAGGTCCTTGTGAAGATGAGAGTTATTCACAGAGCATCCTAGCCCTTAAGGGAGCTCCTAAGGTGAAAAACTGTTAGGGGCAGGAAGGAGGACTTTAAAGAGACTTAAGAGTTTCATAATCAGAGGAGAAAATGGTGGAAACAAGCACATCAGAGAAGTATTCTCCAAACGCTGGATGACAGTAAGTGAAATGCTACAGATTAGTTCTTGCAGGAATAATATGCGTGGTTGATCTCATTTGGGATACACACACATTTACCAATCACAACAGTGCAGCAGTGATGACTTGAGTCTGTCTCAACCTTCAATCAGCAGAGTGATCACACTAACAATGACGACACTTAAACAGTCAGCAGTTCATTTCATTTCCACTGGGTGTCCACACCTTGCAGGCTCACAAAGGGCATGTTTGTGACAACCAATCACGTGTTAAAAAAATGCATCATACCTAGCAACCGGGTCGACCACACCTCCTCACTGAGGTCAAAGTTTCTGTCCCTTCCTTGCTCAGAGTTGCTCTATGAACTTTCCTTAATCACTCCTAAGCTAAGACTCCTTACTAAATGTTTTAGGCTAAGTTAGGAGCTCTCTGAGAGTGTTCTCAGGCTGTTTGTGAAGTATGACACTAAAGACTTATTTTTTTCAAAGCCGATTGACTCACTTAAGGGTGTTGCACAGAATTCCTTAGAAGGTTACCTTAGTTAAGTAACATTTTAAGGCATTTGTTGCATTAAAGGAGATTTTACAGTGGTAAAATACTACAGTTTCTGTGATAACCATTTGTTTGCTTGTGATACCTTAAGTCCTTTGTGCAAGGATTTGACTGACTTTAAGTGTAAGACCTTATCTTGGTCTTATACTGAAGGAGAAAACCTTAAATACTTAAGTGAACACCTCAAGGAAACCTGAAGAAAAGGTCTTGTTATGTGCAACTGATTATACTTTGATAAAGCTAAAGCCTTAGCATGGACTTGAGGGAAAATCTTAATTTAAGGTGTTTTGTGCAACTGGCCCCTGAATAGAAAATGTCACTAAAAGCAGGGGGGAGTGGGAGGTGGCCTCTGGAGCTACAGCCCTGAATATTTTTTAAAAAGATAGATAATGTATGCAGATGTTGTTCATCCTATGATGCTGTTCCCTAAAGAAATCTAAAATAATTGAGTCTATATTCATTTCAGAGTACATTTACTTTGCAGTGTTCAGGATCCTTGACTTAAAGTTAAAGCTGCCATATTATTATGGTATGGATTCAGATGCAGCAGATTCGTCAGCTAAACATTCGTTCTGTGAACTCTAGTCCATCATAAACAAAAACAAAAATATGTTTCCGGATTAGTAATGCTGCTTAAATTCCTACACAATAGTAGCATCAGATAATTTTGGCTCATGGTGTCAGGAGTGAAAATGAGTCATCGTCAGCATTTGTTGTGGTTTCAGAGACAGCTGGAGATCAATTACATACAAAACAGGACTTTTTTCCCTCAGCAATGATCATGTTTTTCTCAAATGGTGTTCAGATTTTTAGGCATTTATTATCTCATTAATGCCCCTGAACCCTCCTAGGTATGGACTTAGCCCTGAATGTTAACGTCTGGCTCCACCCCTGAGTAAACGAGCGTGAGTATTATCAGCAAAATCTACTTAAAGTATCAAAAGTAAAAGTACTCATAATGCAGAATGGCTCTTTTCAAAGTGTTTTATTAATATAGAATGTGGAGTCGATTTAAGATACTTTGTGTGCTGCTGGGTAGATAAGTAGAAGAGTACTGCATCATAAATAAACATATTGTTTGTTTTTTAAATGTAAAAGGTAACATAGTAAATGCAGTTGAGTAAAAGGTACAATATTTCCCCCTGAGATATAATGAAGTAAAAGTAGCATAAAATAGAAATACTCAAGTATAGTCCAAGTATGTCAAAATTGTACTTAAGTTGAGTAAATGTACTTAGTTACATTGCACCACTGGTTGCAGGTGATAAATGTGGAGCAAATTGTAATTACTTAATATATTTATGGATAGCTTTTGAATATCTCCACAGGGTTCAATAACATATCTTAACCTATAATTTATGTATATTATTACATCATGATTTATTAGTTGATTACATTTTGTATTAACAAGTAACTAAAGTTTTCAGATAAAGCAGTGGAGTAAAATAGATACAATATTTCCCTTTTGAATTGTAGGAAGGTAAAAGTACCTCAGACTTGTGCTTAGGTGCAACAAAAGAAAGCTGCAACAATCAGAACATAAATATAAGACAAATATTTATTGTGTTCAGTTTTGATTTATTCAAAGTTTTTCTTCTTAAGCCGATCGTCTTCCTTTCTTGACCTCCTAAGAGAAAGGAAAAGTGAAATATGAGATGCAATAACAGATATGCAGTGATGAAAGAAGTATTCAGGTCTTTTACAAAAGTAATAGTAACAATCCAAAAATACGGATGCATCCATTTGTAAGCATTATTTTACTGGTGTAGCTGCTCGAGAGAGTTTAGTCCAGTGGTTCCCAACTTAAAGGTCGGGCCCCTCCACAGGGTCTCAGGGTAAATCTGAGGGGTCGTGAGATGATTAAATGTGTTGGAAAGAAGAAGAACAATGTCCTGAAGTTGATATTTGTTTTGTGGACAAAATGTGTCTTTGGGGAAACTGCTAATGAAGATAACACCTGAAACGTTTTGGAAAAGTTTGGGAAAGTCACCACTAACAATAGCTGACAGATAAATATGGTAGAAGTTCTGTTGGTAGAAGTATAAAGTACAAAATATTAAGTACTCAAATGAGGTACAAGTGCCTCAAGCTTACTCATAAGCACTGTACTTTACACATATGCATTTACACATACCCATGCAATGAACAAAAAAAGGAGACCTGTGTGCCCAAAAATACTGTGAGAACCATCAGTTGTGATGATTTGCAAAACAGAAGAGAGCACTGCTCCAAATACCAAGGTGCTCCTGCTCTCATTAGACAAACCCTGTCTGTCCTGACATGTCCAACAAGGATTAAGAGACATAATGAGGGACGCCACACCCATATGGAAAAGGCTAAATCAGGGTATTCAAGCGACATTGTGCAACTTTTTTACCTTGAAATAACAGCTTCAACATGTATATTTCGGCGCTTTGAGCTCCACAGGCTGAGTGCCATCTAGTTCCATTATACCAGAGAGAGGGCAGACATCTCTACAGCTGATATCTCTAACACTCTGCAACTCACACCAAAACAATCTAGACTGATAAATAGCACTACAGGTAAGAGGAAAATGTATTTTTGATTTTGGGGTGAACTGTCCCTTTAAGGGCAGTTTGGAGCAGATGACACCAGTTCTCTTCTGGACATTCAATTCATTCCTATCAGAGAGCTGATGCGTGTACGTACCCCGTAGTGTTCCCAGCCTCTGATCTCATTATAGAGAGCGTCTCCAGGACAGGAAGTGTTCACCACCTGTCTGTGTCCCTGCAGGGTGAAGTTGGCAACCAGTCGGCCACCACCGACAGCGCATGATGCCAGCTGATCTCTCACCAGCCCCATGGAATGCTGGGAGGGGAGCCTGGTGGCGTAGTCTCCGATGAAGGAAACCCCGTAGCCTATGGAGTTGTGTCCGAGGGTGTGGGCTCCTTGCCAGAGCCAGCCTCGGCCCTCGTAGATGTACCCGTCAGAGCCTGCGACAAAGCTTTGGGAGAGCAGAGTATCTCAGACGTTTGTAAGCTGGGTGATGAATTTCACACATGTGCTATGTTTTTGACATGAGACCTAAACTCGACCACTCGTACCTGTATCCTATGTCGTCCCAGCCTCTGTCCTCCTGGTGGAAGCGCTGCATGGAGCGCATGTCTGCAGAGCACTGCTCTAAGGTCAGACAGGGCTGGCTGGGTGTGTGAGTGTGGTGGATGTACATGAAGGACAGAGGGAGGGACAGGTTGGTGGGGGTTCCTCTGTATGGCTCTGCACCCCACATACAGCGAGGGATCATGGGTGGGCAATCTGAAACACATTCACAGAGTGTGACCACAGCTGGTTAGTATATGTTAGTTAATTTAAAGCTGGGGTAGGCAGTTTTATTTTGGGCTCACTGGGCAAAAGTCCCATAATAAACCATGTCAGGTCACCCGCGAGTGTAAACACTGACTGACAGGACCAGACTGGCCGACTCGTATGCTCTCGCTCAGTGGACAGATGATGTCACAGGAAGCTTTGTGGTTGATTACTATGCCAATCTTACAAAGCAGGACGACACTTGAACGGTTTCCTCCAGTTTGTTTTGCTATCAAAGCTACCGTTAGCTAATGTGCTAAAAAGTTAGCGTTACAGAGAAATCTAATATTCCTCTTAATACGTCCCCAGTTTCTGATGAGTTGGACATGATAACCCTTACTGCACATAACGTTATTCATCCCTACAACAGGAAATACTTTTTCCCTAACCTGATATGAAGTGAGAGCATTTTTAATGATCGCCTCCGTCCAGTCCTTTTGTCTTATCATATTTGACCATAGTTATCTTTGTTTTCATTGACGGGCAGTGGCGGCTGGTATGTGACACAACAAGATGACATTTTAAGACTCCTATGTAGCCTACAGCCCTGTGGTGGCGAGTCGTGCTTTGCCTCCAGCTGATGAAGTGACGTCGGCCCTAAAAGGGTTTATAAGACAGTCCGGCAATAAACTAAACAAAACACGTAACAACATCGGCAAAGTGTTTCAGAAATGGAGAGAAAATGTTGTTAAGAGTTAAGCCTTGTGCTTAACATTCATGTTTATGCAGCTAGCATTAGCTAAAGCCTCAAATTAGAGTGTGTCCTCCACCTCACTCCTCCACTACAGACCACTTCACTGGGAGGAGAACCAGGTAGCAGCCGCAGCAACACAAATCCAGACAGTGCAAAGCCCAGCTATGAGGGACCAGACAGCCCCGACTCCCGCCGGATCAGCAAACTTTCTGTTGCTGCTGTTACACAGGTTAGACCCCTGTGACACCCGGCGCTGGGGGGTAAGTGCTGGCTGAACTTGAGCTGCTACAGCCTCAACTGAAGGTCAGTCTCCTAAGCTGTTGCCCAGTGTCCTGGCAAAGCAGTCCACAGTGGTGGGGAGCGAGGCGGAGGGACTGTGAGATGGCTATCAGCTTATTTTTGTCTCATTTGTGGTCTGATAAGAAGAAGAGAGAGGCAAGGAGGGGCTGAGAGAATGAACTGCACGCAACTCTACAATGAAATAAGGTTAAATAAATCAATATACGGGAAACACTGGGTTATTGTATAAAGCGTGTGCATATGCCTGTGGTCGTCTGGTGGGAGGGGCTTAGGATTTCCAGATTTCTGCCTACCTCAGCTTTGAGTAAATACATAATAATCAGCATTTATTATTCTCGATTTTGAAGACCACAATAGTTTCCTTTCACTTCTTCTGTGGTTTGGTCTCGTGCTCACCCATGTACATGTGGACGAACTCTTTCATTCCCTCTCTGACCACAGCTGTCAGCTGCTTCTTCTCCTTCACGTCCATCTTTGAGCGCCCCTTCAGTCTCCGCTGCAGCTCTACTGACTTCACCACCTTTCTGGTCAACAATGGAGGGACAACCAGTCCTCTGAAGTTCTCCCTGCGGCGTCTGCTGATGAGGCGTGGGGCTGCGTCCAGTCCTTTGCTGCCCAGCTGGTGGCAGTAGTACTCTGTCAGCAGGCTGCTGAGCTTGAGAGGACGTTTAGATTTGTCAGAGACCTCCATGCCTAGAACCACGCCGTCCATGCCTCCGTTGACCTGAGCAGTGGTGAGCACAGAGGGGCTGTCCAGGAGGGTGAAGACTTGTGGAGAGGTGAGGCTGTCCCAGCAGCCGTCAGGTCCCAGACGCTGGGTGAGAGGAGAGCTGGACAGGTCTTTGGCCAGAGTGAGCTGGTACAGGCCCCGCACACGCCCCGCCGTCTTGGAGAGGAGACCAGCCTCGATGCCCAGGAGGAGCGGTGTGAGGGCAACAGTGGTGCCGTCAGGTGTCAGAACTACACCTTCCTCTTTAGTGTCTTCAGTCATCCTGTGATGCATGGCCTTCTTAATGTAACCTGAGAGGTGAGTGCCAATTTCAGGACCACTAGAGTTGGCGTTACCGAGGAAGTGCTGGATGAATGCATCATTAAGGCCAGCTGCCCGCCGCAGCCTCCTCAGCACAGCTACTGGCTCTGATGCAGGGTGCCCAGCCTCCACCTGCTTCACCGCCTTGATGAAGTCATTCATGTGCCGGGAAAATGAGGCTGGGGACGAGAACAGGACACACATAAAAATCTTTGTCATCAGATGAAAATAAATCTCTGTAGCCCCACACAACCTCACCCTCTTATGTTTGTTTTTTTTTAATATGTCAAATTAATTTATTCATTCATTCATTTTTTAGTGACGCTGAGATTATATTAAGCCACATAAAACAAAAAATAAAATGATTTAAATTAAAACAATTTAACATTTATTGATATAAATAAAACATGACATATAATAAATGGCTGAAATAAAATAAAATTATTCTTCACCATTTGTAAACAGGATAATGCACAATGAGGCACATAAAAATACTTTTTTTACTTTACTGAGGTTTTTTTTTTTTTTGGTACATGTGCTTGATTTTTTGCAAGAACTGTGAGCCATAGAAATAAAACAAACTCAAACCATGATGTCAATATTTGATCGGCCACGTTAAACCCTTTCATATTAAGAATAGGGCTTCTTTTATTATTTTTACTTTATTTTTTATTCTATTTTAATAATTTTCTGTGTCCCTGGAGTCATGTTTTCCCTGTTAGTTAGTACTCTCTCGCCCCCCAAAAAATAGATATATACATGAAAAATTAAAAAGACAAGACCAGAATATTAGGAGGAACTATAGTCAAAAAAAAATAAAAATAAAAATCATAATTTACTGTGTGTCCCTGAAGCCATCTTGCACTGTTTGTAGTTTCGCATCTTCCAAAACAAAACAAAAAAAATTTCCATTTAGACCATTTTCAGGAAGTGTCGCACTTTTTTGGAGGGAATTCAAAGACGTAAAGTCGGGTAAATTAAGTAGATAGTTGGTCCAATCAAAAAATATATAAACATATTTGATATAATTATAAAACTTATATTTCTGGGCAGAAGATTAGCTAGATAAATCTGCATCACTCACAGAACCAAGGCTAATTGATTTGGCCATCTTGTAGTTTGCAGTTGCCAGCCATTTAGTTTGTGGTCCAGACTGTGTTTGTTTAACACACACACCTTCTTGTCTCTCTCTCTCTCTCTCTCTCTCTCTCTCTCTCTCTCTCTCTCTCTCTCTCTCTCTCTCTCTCTCTCTCTCTCTCTCTCACACACACACACCCATGTTTGTATATAGTGACTAGTTAGTCTTTGTGTGATTTGTTTGTTTTGCTTTCATTATGAAGAAATACTTTCGAAATCACACCTGCAGTCTGTTTGATATTACATAAGAGCGAATGAAAAGTCGTCCTCTGCTGCGTCAAGAACTCAATACTCCTTCAATATTTGTTATTTATACAGCAACTTTTATTATAGTTTTTAATTTAACTATTACTCAGAGTTCCAAATTGATAGTTTTGTTGTATTTTATGAGACTGAAACTATATTAATAGGCTATCATTTTTCCCTTTTCAGGAATGGTACTCCTCGAGGTGATTTAATGCACATTAAGTCACATTATTTAACATAATTAATAATAATCATTAATTATTTCCAATAGCCATTTCGACACTTTGAACCACAAGTTCCCAATAATTGGAGACGAGTTATGAGGTCAGGTCCCAACAATCTACTGACAATGGTCTCAAGCTTTTATGTCTTGTTGGCAAGTATCACATCCATAAAGCTAGAGTGCTTCGGATTCGTCAAATATCCAACTGTTGTTTGTGTTGAACTACAATATCTCTCAAATAATTGATAAAATTATGTCTAATGAAAACAAATAAAGTGTATTATATCCAGGGTTTCATCTCCCTCATAATGTTTCATGTATGCATTTTTTGTTTGATTTTGCTGTTTGACATGTGATGTTAAAATGACCACTTTCAATGTTTTATAATCAAATATGTTTATGAACAATGTCATGTTATATCTGAAAAAAGATCAATAAAAAAATTTAAAAAATCTGAGCCTCTCTGAGCACTTTTAGTAGAGGTCAATTGACAGTGTGAACATACCCTGAGTGGTTATTGCAGCCTGTTTTGCTGCTACAGGCTGCAACGCTATCACTCAATACTGGACCAGTTCAAAAATTTTAGTTTCTAGTAATCACTGAAGACAAAGACGATGGTCTTGGACACGGGTCCATGTCATTGGTCCGACAGCCCATTAGTCTAACCCTAACCCTAACCAAGTGGTTTTTGTGCCTTAACCTAACCAGACCTTAACCACAGGGCATCATGATGATTTCGGAACAATGGTATAATATGGTCGGAACAATGGGCAGTTCCCCTTGGACACTTTCCTAATATTTGCTTCAATTTTTAATTTAGAATCCAAGACAAAATACCTTGGTATCTGAACTGATTTTTCTTTCTAAACAATATTCATTATTATTATTATAGCAATTGTAATAATATTCATTATTATAATTGCTATTATTTCAGCTGTAGCTCATGTATTAGTCTATGTGAGGTCACACATGGACAAAAAAGTACATGTGTTAGCTGTTCACGTTCAACAGAGTAAAAGTTCTTCAGTGAAGAGGTACAAATGGCCAAGAAGACACAAAAAATGTCCGTGCTGAATTTGTCTGAGTAATAAAAAACATTAAATCAATACTGTTTCTGTCACTCTAAATAATCTAATATATCAATTGTCATAATTCATCTCACAAAACTGGTGAAAACATGAACAAATGTCTTTACCTTCTGCATTTGTGCTGACCAGCACCACCACAACAAGAGCCAGGGTCTGTCTCCAGCAGCCTTTATCCATCCTGAACACCTCCATCTCCGAGCTCTAAATGCCTGCTACCTCGTTGTCTCTCTTACTTATACAGTTCACGTGCAGAGTAAGTGGGTGGTTATGCAACAGTTGTGGACATACTGTAGATACGCCTGCGTTCAATCTGTTGGCGTGGCCCACTGAGCAATGTGGGAAACTGGCACCTGCAATGTGGGCAGTGTGGAGTCGTTTGTCCTTTCCGCTCAAGGTCTTCCCACTAACAACACACACACTGTCTGTGACGGACACGGACATTTTCGAGAAATTCTCAAGTTCTGTAAAAGTAATGTAGTCATGTTGTCGCAGTTGATGAGGCTAGTGCTTGTGAAACAAACCTCCTGGGAATCAAATCATTCCGTATAAAAACTGTACAAATCCCTGGCAGTCCTCTGTGAGGCAATACGCATGTTCTCCATAACATTCAGAAAACACAAAGCCAGGGCTGCAAAACTGAGGAAGTCCCAGAGCCATGAATCACGTGTTAGCTGGGCAGCAGCGACAGAGTATATCAGCACACTGATTTAGTCATCATTGATTTTCATGTCAGGTTTATATGTGCACGAACTGGTGGGACTAGAAGACACAGATTCGTGGTTACAGCAGTCACATGAGGACAAGAACAGGAAGTGGACATTGTCTGAGGGTGAACTGGAAAATACATTGCAGAAGGTCTGGGATGCAAATAACAAAGGTCATAAATCTGTTCACTGTATTAATAAAGACGTTTAGAAGGAGGAACAAGAGCGATAAGGTGATGTTGAGGGAACTAGCATGACTTGTAAAACACAAGTGAAACTATTAACATTAATAACTGCTGCATTTCACTGCTGCTGAAAGTAAACCAGCATAATATACACTTTACCTGGGACATGTGCTCATTATCTGCTGTGAAAATGGTCTGTAAATACAATTACTTTGGAAACAACACTGCTGATACCATAGCCTGGTTTCCAAGGCTCAGCTTTGCAAAGTTTATTCAAACCAGTCACCAGGTCACAGGTGTGGTTAGAACCCAGATGCAGCACCACAGACAAGGACAGTTTCTACTAGTGTTTAATGAAACCACTTATCAAACACGGAGTAAGTAGGCAGATGAAAAAACAGTGACGGTCAATTTGTTTGCTTGAAACCTTCCAAGACACAGGTGTAGTACCTGGTGTGGTGCACCGAAGCAGAGAACAGACGTGTCAGTGGCGTCTGCTGGATGCACACAAAAAACAAACAGTTCAAACGCGCAATGGCGGAATGTGCAGCCACACGGTGAAGCAATCCAAAGAAGTTCACAGGTGGATGAACAGGTAAACTCACTCTGCAGAACTGCGTGGCAATCTCTCCAAACAGCCACAAGCAACAGGCAAACAAAAACCAGGAACGTGGAAGCAGAGTTCTTGGTCGGGGACAGAAGGTAGAGTGGTTTACTGGAGAGAAGACGAAACAGGAGAGTCAGGAGCAGGTGGGGTTGGAAATGAGGAAGCAGTCCGGGAACAAATGCTGGAAAGTCTCTCATAAATGACAAAGAACAATTTGGTAAGGAGAGTCTGTGAAGTGGGAGTCTTTATACCAGCAGGAGGTAAAGATCCACAGGTGAGAGGCATTAGCTTGACGAGATGGGTGTGGTGGATCGGCAGGATGAGAGATGTGTGGTTAGGTGATAGGCTGGCAAGTAGGTGTGGTGGAGAGACGGATTGGGTGGATATTTACTGGGTAAAGAGAGTGGCATGTATGGCAGGTGAAAAGTGCCCACTGTGACAGATTTTTGACAGGAAACACATGATGCTCATCAAGCAAACACATCAGTATGAAGCACCCAAAATATGTTAACACCTGTCTTGCTCTCAGGTTTACTGCCAATATAGGAGACAATCTGGGGTTTGAAAAATAGAAGTTTTGGTACACCGCTCATTGTGGCACTATTTTCCCCAACACTGCTACCAGCTGTTAAAGGACCATGACCGTTTTATAGCTTCCAAAGGGGCCTCCGCCAGGGTTGTCACTTGTCTCCGATCCTTCATGGACAGGGTCTCAAGCAACAGCTGTGGGGAGGAATTTGTCCAGTCTGGGGACCTCAGATTTACATCACTGCTTTCTGATGATGATGTGGTTCTGTTGGCTTCATCACACTGTGACCTCCAGTATGCACTGGGGCGGTTTGCCGAGTGTGAAGCAGTCAGGATGAGAGTCAGCACCTCCACAACTAAGGCCATGGGAGAGAGCTACTGCCTCAAGCAAGGGAGTTCAAGTATCTCGTGGTCTTGTTCACAAGTGAAGATAGAATGGAGCATGAGATGGATCATGGTGAAGGGGACGCTAAACCAAAAGGTGAACTTTTCAATTTACTGGTCCATCTACGTCCCAGCCTTCACCTATGGTCATGAGCTCTGGGTAGTGACCGAAAGAATGAGATCGCAGATACAAGCGGCTGAAATGAGTTTCCTTTGTGGGGTGTCTGGGCTCGGGTCCATGTCATTGGTCCGACAGCCCATTGGTCCAACATCCCATTAGTTCTACATCCCATTAGTCCTACATCCCATTAGTCCTACATCCCGTTGTTCCGATATGTGATTGCCACTTTCTTTTTCATTTTAACCCACACCATGATCTTTTCCTAACCCTAACCAAGTGTTTTTTGCGCTTAAACCTAACCAGACCTTAACCACAGGGCATCATGATGATTTCGGAACAACAGGACTTCGGAACAATGGGTTTAATATGGTCAGAACAATGGAAGTCGTCAGACCAATGGGTTGTCAGAAAAATGGGCTGTCGGACCAATGGGCAGTTCCCTCTGGGCTCAGCCTTAGAGATAGGGTCAGGAGCACGAACCTCCGGAGGAAGCTCTGAGTAGAGCCGCTGCTCCTTCACAGTGAAAGGGGTTAGTTGAGGTGGTTCGAGCATCTGATCAGGATGCCTCCTGGGTGCCTCCTGTTAGAGGTGTTCTGGGCACGTCCAACTGGTAGGAGGCGCCAGGGTAGACCCAGAACACACTGGAGGGATTACATATCTCATCTGGCCTGGGAACACCTTGGGATCCCCCAGGAGGAGCTGGGGAGAGGGACGTCTGAGGTACGTTGCTTGGCCTGTTGCCCCCATGACCCTGCCCGGGATATGCAAATGAGGATGGATGGATGGATGGATGGACTCTGTCGCCTTTTTTTCAATTGGTTATTTGATGAAATGGATAAGCAGTTAGCTACTCGGCCAAATGGTTATTTCTTAATATGAGGATATTTTATATGGTGTTTTAGATTATGAAGATTGATAACTCTTATTTTTTTCTCTCATTATTGTAAGACTGTTTCCATATTTTCATCAACAACACAGCTATTGCATCTGATTTAAAAATGTTGCTTCCAAAAAGGTGCATGTGACTTTCTTCAAAAAAGAAAAACAAACAATAAATGTTAAAATATTGTTAATTAACTAGATTATCATCCGCATGTTTATGACGTTTTAACATTAAAGATTTATTATTTTAAAAAAGTAATGAAAAGGTATGGTCACTTCTGTTCCGTCTGTTAGCACGCTCCCGTACAGTAGGGGGCGGTGTGTCATTTAAACGGTGTTTGAAGTCGCGAGTAAGCAAAACGTAAAGGAGGAAGTAGACGAAGAAGAAGAAGCGGAAGAAGAAGAGGAAGCTGGTCAGTCGCTTGTCTTTTCTCCAAAAGGTTCGTTTTTTCTGCAAATAAACACCCAGAACTGATCACCAGTTGTCTCCTCTGTATTTGTCTTTTTATTAAAACGTGTATGTTTCCGCTGCTGGAAGGCTCGCGTGCTGTTAACCTAACAGGAAGTACCAGTTAGCATGTTTGGCTAGGAAGCTAACAGCTAGTGTCGATCAGCTGTTTGTTGTGTTTGAAGGCTCAAACTGAGCTTTAGGAGAAACACGGTGGGTCGTTAACAGATCCTGTGTTTTAGTTAAGCTTATATAAAGTATAAATTGTATTTGTAACGCGGATAATCCCGTCAATTTGATGTAATCCCACATTTTACTTCAATCTGGTGGAAGAAACGTCACAAGTGGGATTATTATAATGACATTTATGGTAAATTAGTGAGTCAATTGATCAGTTGCTCGTCTCTGAGTACTTTGAAAAGCGCCATAGAAGTGTGTTATTGTTATCATTATTATTATTAAAAATTAATTGACAATAACTTGCTTAGAGACAAGTCTTTTAAATAATTCTTTCAGCAATATGATGAACAATATCTGTTTAAATCTCATCAAATATGAAGATATAATAGTTTTATTTGTTTTATATTATGGTATATTTTTTGTTTTTGGTGGGTGCACAAAATAATAATATAATAATAATATGATGATGCAGTTCTGGGGTCTGGGAAATCCAGATGCTTTTTTTTCAGTTCATTTTTTTAAAATTCATTTATATGTATTGTTATTATTATTATTAGGGATGCACCATAATATCGGCACATCATCTGTATTGGCCAGTATCAGCTGAATCAGAATTTGCTAAAATGCTTTTTCTTACTTTGCACAATGAATGAATATTACATACACTGACACAAGTATTGTATTTCATGTCTCGAGTATGCATGTATAATATGATCTTAATTCCACTACAGATGAGACTTGATCACTAAAATTAGGTGGGGAAAAATTACAAATAAGTTGTTGTATATTTCCATATCGGATATCGGCAAAAAAATCCAATATCGTGCATCCCTAACTGTTATTATGACATTTTACAGACTAAACAGTTAATCTGAAAAATAAATAAATATGGCATAGTGGAATACTGATTAGTTGCAGCCCTCTGTCAGTTTAGTTAGCTTTCAAAAAAGACTTCATAATATTACAACTGCATATTTGATATCTGTCTAAAGTTATTGGTGACTGCTTTTTTTAATATTCTGAAAGGCGTTAAGTTAAGTTAATGTATTTAAAATGTATTTTTTAACATTACACAGTAAAGATCTTTTTTTGTTTGGTTTAGTTTAATTTATTTCAGTCATTTCCAACATATAAAAGTCAAATACACTGGTAGATAGTCAATAAACATTAAGTAGATTTTTTTTAGCATTAAAGACAAATACAGGACTGAAAAGGGTTAGGCTGAAACCTTAGCTTAATACACCTGCCCTTTTTACATTTATTATTTTTGTCAGCTTCCTTTAAATTACACAGGGCAATAAAAGAAAGTAACAGAAACTTAGTACATTATATAGGCCTTTTGTCTACCCAAAAATCCCAAACACATTTCATGTACACTCTGGTGTTCATATTTCAGTGTTCAAACAGGTAACTTACAGGTTCTCAAACTGATGGCATGAGGAGCGGTAGCATCATTATAGCAGCACCACTAGTTGGGAAATACTGCTATTGTCCATGAACATGAATTGTGCAGATATCTGTGTCAATACATGTAAAAATAAAAAATAGTACACACGCCCAGTTTCCTGTTAGCTAACAACACTGACTAGTTATGATCTGCATGTGTGTGTTAGGAGATACTAACCTGTGCTGCTGTCACTCTCCAACAGAAAATGGACACGCGGTTCACTCGGGGAAAATCCAACATCCTGGAGCGCCCCCTGACCCGCCCCAAGACTGAGGTCAGCGTGAGCGCTTTTGCCCTGCTGTTCTCAGAGATGGTCCAGTACTGTCAGAGCCGCGTGTACTCGGTGTCGGAGCTGCAGACACGCCTGGCGGACATGGGCCAGAGTGTGGGAGCCAGCATGCTGGACGTGCTGGTGCTGAGAGAGAAGAACGGGAAGAGGGAGACCAAAGTGCTGAATATGCTGCTCTTCATCAAGGTGAGCTGATGTAAAGTACCAACACATTCTCACTCTGACCTCGTCACATATTGACGTTTGGTCATGGACTTTCCACGTCCAAATACTACGTGCAAGATACCCTGGGTGCACTGGTTGTTGACGTTGTGAGACGCTATGTCAAGTTCTGCCTGTTACATGCATTGTCTTCTTTCAAGATACACTTCTGTTTTCACAGGAAATTTAACACTTACATACAGTCTCTTTCAAAATAAACAACAACACAGCACGTGGTTAGGTTTAGGAAAAAAGAACAGGCTTTGGCTTTCTAATCTTAGGGGATGCGAACACCACTCTCTCGGGTGAAAGTCAGTGTTTGTTGGACCCAACGCCCACCCAGTTGGACTTTTGCTGCCTTGACTTTCATCCTTGTCCCACCGTGTTTTGCCCCTGACGCCTCAGGGCGCCGATAAACTAAAACAGCAACAAGCTACAGTCAGGTCCATAACTATTTGAACAATGTTACAGTTGTCATCATTTTGGCTCTGTACACCACCACAATGGGTTTTAAATGAAACAATGAATACCTGCTTAAAGTGCAGACTCTCAGCTTTCATTTAAGGCTTTTTTCAAAAATGTAGTATGAACCGTGTAGGAATTACAACCATTTCTTCACACAGTCCCCCGACTTTAAGGGCTCATAAGTATTTGGACAAACTAACATAATCATCAATTAAACAGTCAGTTTTAATACTTGGTTGCAAATCCTTTACAGTCAATGACTGCCTGAAGTGTTGGACACATAGGCATCATCAGATGCTGGGTTTCTTCCCTGGTGATGCTCTGCCAGCCCTTTACTGCAGCCGTCTGCACTTCCTGCTTGTGTTTTGGGTGTTTTGCCCTCAGTTTTGGCTTCAGCAAGAGAAACGCATGCTCAGTTGGATTCAGGTCAGATGATATGACTTGGCCATTGCAGAACATTCCACTTCTTTGCCTTAAAAATGTCTTTGGTTGCTTTTGCAGTATGCTTCAGGTCAATGTCCATCTGCACTGTGAAGCATCGTCCAATGAGTAGAAGCATTTAATTGAATCTGAGCAGATAATGTAGCCCCAAACACTTCAGCTTTCATCCTGCTGCTCTTGTAAGCAAGACAAGACTTCACTAGAATAAATACAGAGGGTTTATCACAAGATGCAAACCATTGGTTAGCCTTAAAAATGGAAGGCCAGATTAGAGTTTGTCAAAAACCATCTAAAAAGCCTGTACAGTTGTGGAACAGCATACTATGGACAGATAAAACAAAGATCAACTACCAGAATGATGGGAAGACAAGAGAAGGAAGAAGGGAAGGAACTGCTCATGATCCAAAGCACACCACCTCATCAGTGAAGCATGGTGGAGGTACTGTTATGTCATGGCCATGTATGGCTGCCAGTGGAACTGGTTCTCTTGTATTTATTGATGATGTGACTGCTTACAAGAGCATCAGGATGAATTCTGAAGTGTTTGGGGCACCATTATCTGCTCAGATTCAACCAAATGCTTCAAAACTCATTGGACGATGCTTCACAGTGCAGATGGACATTGACCTGTAGCATACTGCAAAAGCAACCAAAGACATTTTTAAGGCAAAGAAGTGGAATGTTCTGCAATGGCCAAGTCATATCATCTGACCTGAATCCAACTGAGCATGCGTTTCTCTTGCTGAAGCCAAAACTGAGGGCAAAACACCCAAAACACAAGCAGGAAGTGCAGACGGCTACAGTAAAGGGCTGGCAGAGCATCACCAGGGAAGAAGCCCAGCATCTGATGATGCCTATGTGTCCAACACTTCAGGCAGTCATTGACTGTAAAGGATTTGCAACCAAGTATTAAAACTGACTGTTTAATTGATGATTATGTTAGTTTGTCCAAATACTTATGAGCCCTTAAAGTCGGGGGACTGTGTGAAGAAATGGTTGTAATTCCTACATGGTTCATACTACATTTTTGAAAAAAGCCTTAAATGAAAGCTGAGAGTCTGCACTTTAAGCAGGTATTCATTGTTTCATTAAAAACCCATTGTGGTGGTGTACAGAGCCAAAATGACGACAACTGTATCATTGTCCAAATAATTATGGACCTGACTGTACGTATCATGCCGACGTTAAAGACACCTGCCGCAAGTCACAACCCAGCGCCGGATCCCGACGACTTCGGAGTGAGACCAGGCTCAAAGTGCAGCTGATGGTTTTAGAGTCGAGTAACTTCTTAACTAACAGTTTTCTTTCCTTTCAGGTGAATGTGTGGAAGTCTTTGTTTGGGAAGGAGGCCGACAAGCTGGAGCAGGCCAACGATGATGACAAGACCTATTACATCATAGAAAAGGAGCCACTTATCAACGCGTACATCTCTGTGCCCAAGGAGAACAGCAGCTTGAACTGTGCTGCCTTCACCGCGGGCATCGTGGAGGCCATCCTCACACACAGCGGCTTCCCCGCCAAGGTCACCGCCCACTGGCACAAAGGCACCACGCTGATGATAAAGTTTAACGAGTCAGTCATAGCCAGGGACAAAGCTCTGGACGGCAGATAAAAGACTGGAGAGATGTTTATCCATACAGGATGAATGAAATCATCCGGGTCCAGACTGGTGTTTGTTCCTGACTGAATTTCCTTGTGGTAACTTATGAGACAGGATGAAGGGATGACGGCAGCGTAATGAGCCACGTTTAGAGCAGAAACATGCTGTGGCTCCATGTTTTTATGGATCATCTCACTCCTGTTAGTCCTCATCAAGTGTCACAAAGTTGTTTACTGAAGATCACTTTTAATTTGTGGTTTCACGTCACAGTTTTGCATCACAGATCATCCATCATTTTGGTGTTTTCAACAGTACTCCTCTGACTTCTAAAGGTCCAGTGTGTCATTTATAGTTTATAATCACTTGAAAATAAGATTTGTTTTTGTTATTTTAGAATGAGCCATTTGTATCTACATACAGAGTGGGTGCTATTCCTGAACTGACAAACCAAACACTGTCTCTGCATAGGGCCATTCATGTTTTCTCATCAGCCACCGTAGTTCTACATGCTTGGGGAGAAGTTTCAGTTGGTTGCAATCTGCATTCTCACCACTAGATGGCACTAAATCCCACACACTGGACCTTTAAGTCCAACAGGTCAACATGTTTTAATGAAATAACCTTTATTAAATAATGTCACCAGGCTTTGGGAAAGTGTGATTGCACTTCTACACTATTTCTAGACTTTGTTAAGATTAAAAAAAAAAAAAAAATCAGTTAGTCAACAGATTATTCGAGGAATGAAAATACTTGTGATGACAGCCATTGCCTCATAGTGTGAAAGTGAAGTTGCTCTTTTAATTTGAGCATTCCTTGTTTCTATGATGTCAATAAACATAGTGTCACAACACCTTTTAATGCTACACAATGTTTTCTTTTACAGAGAGAGGTCCAGACTGTGAGATTATTTCTTAAAGGTTTTTTTTCTCTGTTTCATTCCAGCTGCATGTTTCATCTCTGTAAAATAGATTCTTAATCAGGGCGGTAGCTACTGGTGATGACACTGAGGTCGTATCCTGTGTGTCTTTGCATGTGTGTGTGACTTCGGGGGTTATAGACAACATAGTGGAGTTAGTGTTCTAAAATGACAAACAGTGCTTAAACATAGGCGCTGATTCACAAAAGGATTGCACATTTTTTGCAGCTGCTAATCCAACATGTAGGGGACAAAAAGAAACTGTATTCTCAAAGCACCTGCAAAGAATCAAGTACACCTCCTGACCTCAGTTTATCTACAGTCTTGCTACGACCCTGCTGAATGTGTTTCATGTGCTTATTATAACTGATGGCACTGTTAATTTCTCTGTTAAACTTAAAAAAAATTCTGTACTAAAATAAAAAAAAATGTGAAGTGGCACTTGAGCCTGAGTCATGGTTTTATTTATTATTTATTTTTTCACTTTATCATACACGTGTTTATTTACAGAGGTACAGATGCATAGACATGGAAAACAAAAACCACAACAACTTAAAAAATACATTTTATAACGACGGAGTTTGTTTTATTTGCATCTTATTATAAGCATATAATATACTAATACTAATATACTAATACTAATATACTAATACTTTAGATTATTTTGATCATTTTCCAACTTATAAAGCTTCACTGGTAGAGAGACAATAAATAAACATTAAGTTAATGCTTTTTTGGCATTTAAAACAAAAAAAGTTTAGGCTAAAGCCTTAGCTTACAACATCTACCCTTTTAACATTGATTATATTTGTCAGCTCCCTTTGAATAATACAGAGCAATGTGATAATAATATATATTAATATAAATATATTTTTATAGTATAATAACTTAAAAATCTTAATAGCTGTTTTTGTGTAAAACATTAGGTAAGATGATGCTATATTGTTTAAATACATAAATAAAGTGCAGGAAAATTGGCATCCTGATAAGTTCTTCTTAATATGGAATAATAATGAAAATAATAATAATAATTATAAAGCACTTTTTAAAACAAACTTAAAACAGTGCAGGATTAAAGCAAATAAAATGAGGAAATTTTAAGAAATATAAAGAACAGCAATGAATAAATAAAAAAAAAATACAATAATAATAAAATCACGAAATATAATAATCACAATAATAATTCTAATAATAATATACTTAAATACATATATAAATAAATAAATAAATAAAGATATATTACCATCACTAAGGCAGATAAGCAAAGGTGGCAACTTATTGCCAGGATCCTCGTCCAAAATAAATAAATAAATAAATAAAAAAAATTAATAATAATAAAAATTATATGATACACAGCGCAAGTTTTTTCATTTTTATCTTGACTAAAATAAGCTTTTACATCAAACATATTTATTTTAACATTCATCTTTCTTCCTTTGTAAATATGGCGTCTTCATCCTGAACATTATTATTTATTTACATTATAAAAATAACTGAGTAAAGTGACTCATCCTCACACTAAATATTAACCCTATGATGACATGTTATCTGCCTGAATGAATGACGAGATGTCACAGCTCATGTTTTCCTCACAGCAACACAGACACCGGTCACGTGGCGGAGAGTCACGTGGTCACCAGGAAGCTGCGATCTGTTTACGTTATGTGTCATCAACACACTGCGACACCACAGCGTCCTTTATGTGTGATGATAGAAAACATGAATCCAGTCAGTGCTCGGTGTCTGTGCTGAACATGTCCTCCTCCATCTTCCCTGTGTGATCGTCATCATGGCGTCTTCAAGTTACACTCACGTCGCGGACAGCGCCACAGGTTTGATTCCTATTGTCTGTCTCTGCTTCATGGCGCCGGTTCATCTGTGTCTCTGTTCATGGATGAGCCAGATATAATTAGTGCTGCAAAATGCTTATATTAAAGCCTTTGGAAACACAGCTTGAAATGGTAAAAATGCATATATTATATCAAAGTCGAGTGTCTCATTAATCATCCACAAAAGTCTGAGTGAAAATAACCATTAATAACTATTAGAAAACCTGGTTTAAAAACAGCTCATTTTGCTGTTTAGACCACTTGCCAGGACAGAGTGGGCGTGGCAGATAACGCTCTGATTGACAGCTCCCTCGTTTTGATTGACATCTCCCTGGCTCAGCAATGGCTGCCACAAATTTAATCCAGCCGTACATGTTTGAGCCCTCTGATGATTCAGAGGACGAAGCAGAAGCTGAAAATGATTCCTTTCAGGTGGTCACTGAATGGTAAGTTTCAAAATGTTTTGTGATTCATATTAATGTTACTTCGTAGAATAGTTAGCATAACTTTTACATGCAATGTTACGGCCGGGCTCCACCGGCTGCAAACGTACAGCGTAGCGTCGCGGCGTATTCATTTGGGCTCCACTGACTGCGTACGGAAGCGACACGTAGAGAAGCCAGCGGGGTTGTTTACCGTTTGCTGAGCCGAGAGGCTGCATGTAGGCTGCATGAAATGTTAAAGCATTTTCCACCTAAGTTATTACATATATTTGAGTTATCTACAAGTTTACTGTACTGTTTGTCATCTACTCGCTTTCAAATGTCCGCCACGGACACAGTGTCACGGATAAACAATAGAAGAGCGGCGTAAAATAGAGAGTTGTCGTGCCGCTCTCGTTGCCGGTGGAGCCGCTGTAATTGATTAACAGGGGGGCGAGCTGCTACGGGACTCGCGCTGCAGACGTGCCCGGTTGAGCCCGGCCGTTAGCTGAGATGAATGACAACGGGAGGCTAGCGCTTTGCCTTTCTTCATTGAGATACGTTTTCATTGAAAACATAAATCTGCTCCGTTTTTCTGATAATAGCCTTTTTCATTCAAACACATCCAGTCTTAATAGATTAAATATGTCTTTACTCTGACACACACACCGACCGTCAAAGCGGGAGAGACCGGTGCCGGCCGGCCGTCTCTCTGGCGTTTTATTGAAGTATTGGCCCGCCTCAAATAATGTTCCCCTCCGGCTAAAATTGTGTTGTTTCCCACAGCATCACCTCCGCGATTGGGGATATGTTTATGCGTAGCAAAGCTAACTGCTTGGGGTTGGGGTTAGGGGTGAGGAAGGGTGCACATTACGTCCCCTCCCCGCGAGTCGACACGGGCACCGGGCCCGGGGGGCAAGCCCGGCCGCTCACAAGCCGCCTCTTCCTGCAGCTCCACGAGCTGCAAAGGCTCGGATTGTCCGGGCTCTGGAGCCGGTCAACCTGATTCGAGTGCTGCTGGGAGCCCGCCGGAGGCAGAGCCTCCGCTGGGTCGCAGCCGAGCGGTTCAGCCAGTTTACGATCTGTATTTTCTAAACATCAGACTAGAAAGAGGAATTGGCTCAGACTCAAAGAGGCAGATTTAGCTGGAGCAGAAAGGTTTTGTTGCGCTGCCACTGGGGGGTGGGATGAGACAACTGACTGATGATTTATGATTGGTTTGGAATTTATTGCGTAATAAATCTCAGAGATAACCACGGCCAAATCAAACCCAATTTCAAGAATGTACAAAAACTTAAAAGACAGATATTTCGAATTTGGATGGAAACTGATTTCTAATTGTTTTACATGTTTAATATTATGTACATAAGACCCTAAATTACATAGTTAGAAGGCTATTGTGGATTTGGGTTTCCAGAGGCTTTAAATCATGTCTGTTTGTTTTTTATAGTGGCGTCGATCACAGTATGGTGTGTTTAATATAGATATATTATTATGATGCAGCCCAGTTTATTTATTGAGCTGGTCCCAGTTAGAGCAACTTCCTCAAGCTCAGGCCAGTTAAACAATAAATAATACACATTTGTTTGCAGGGCCGGTCCTAGACATTTGGGGGCCTTCAGTAGGATTTGGTCCCCCCCCCCAATTAATTTGCATTGATTTACATGTAAAGTTTATGTAGACTCGATTAGATACAAATTCCCACCGGGCAGTGCAATGGACATGATGGACACAACCGGAATGACGCAAAACTACCTTTATTTAAGACAGGGATATTAATTGAGGGAGACATTAAAAGTTTGTTCGGATTAAGCCCAGCATACACTGTACAATTTTTAAAATCTTGTTGTTAATACCAGCTCACACTGTACAAGTGAATCGTCTGCAATGTGCGGCCAAAGCTCATGATTTATGTGCTCACACTGTACGTTCCGATCATCAAGCACAATCAGAGAGCTCACACTGTACGGGTGAAAACGGCTCATTGGCCCCTGCTGATTGTCCTGCCCGTTGACAGTTGTCAATAAAGATACATTTGAAAGCTCCGATTTGTTCCAGAAGTGCCGATGTTGCAGAAGCAGGACAAGCGGTTTGCTTTGATGATTTGCGCTATACTGTGTGCTGAAACGTCCAAAAAGAAGAGGCATCAGCGCATATGGACTCGCAGATGGCTTGAGAGACTTGGACAGTATGGTTTGTCCATTTTACAATGAGAGTTGGAGGTAAGCCGGCTACAGCCGGGTGCACCCTCTGTGTGTGTGTGTGTGTGTGTGTGTGTGTGTGTGTGTGTGTTGTACCTCGTCTAGCGCGCTAGCTTGTATGTTTGTTGTGCTTGCTTGAAAATGAGAGCAGAAAAAACTTACCAGGCATCTGAAGAATATTGGCTATCTCCTGCCAGCATTTCTCTCGTTGATAGCAGTCGTGGTAGGTGGAAGAAGAAACGTCGAACAGGCACTCATACTGTTGCCACAGCTCAACCAACCTGGCCTCCATATTTACAGTCCACCGACGCGTCGCCATGGTGTTCTATGTCTTCGCACAGGCGCAGTGAGGGATAAATGCACAGACGTTGGTGAATCGGCTCGTGGCTCTGCTTCAACTGTGCGAATGTCTGTGCCAGCTGACCAAAATTTCTGACATGTCAGAAATTCATCTGACCACGGTTCTGGAACAGATGATCGGCCCTTGCCCCCCCCCCCCGTACACTGCACGGCAAAAGACGTACGACGAAGCGGAAATCCAGCCCGAGCATCGGCAGGTTGTGTCTCAAAAATCGGGTCAAATCCGGTCAAAAATCGTACAGTGTATGCTGGGCTTTAGTGGAGCGTGAAGCAACAACCTGTTCTGTGAACGAGTACCAAGGTTATGTGAGGTCACAGTTAATGAATTCGTATTTACATGTGGAACCTCCTGTCTACAACGGGCTTGAGACGCGCCCCCGTTGAGGACTTGGCTCAGATTCCGGAGTTACTCTCTTATCCTGAAGCCTCCTTAAGGAATCTGATCCAGTTTGATTCGGCGGTGGGAACCTCTTGCGACTGAATCCCTTTCCTGACGTCGACCTCAGGTCACAGTTAAAAGGGATGAAACATAGGGTGGAAGCATCAAAGCTTTATTAATGAGCAAATACCAATACTGTTCCCGTCTTACAGCCAAATGTGGCCAGACGACCTTTTGGTAAAGGCGGCAGTGGTGGCTGCTGTAAGGATCACCTTAGGGCTGGGTGGTGACAACATCAAGTGATCTCAGTGCACATTCTACAATTCTTTTTCTATGTACTAAAGGAAACAGCTCTTATTTCTGTACAGGAAGCTGAGTATTGTTCTCAATTTGGCCGTCAGAAATTCAATGTGGTGCTTAAAATCAAGATTGTCGTCCAGCCAGGTACCAAGGTGTTTGTACTGTTCGACTCTCTCTATGGATGAGCCATTTGCAGAATGAATATTGAAAGACTCAGCCTCGGTGAACAGCATCCATTTTGTTTTGTCTGAGTTAAGTACGAACTTTTGGTTATGCAATTGATGTTTTAGCGAATCAACAGACGATTGTAGACGTTCAATGGCTGATTGTGCAGATGTTGCGGAATAATATCAATCTCTGAAAAACCCGAACTTCAGCGACCAATTTGCCCCTCGTTAGCCAATCAGCATTGAGATCCTTCGGAGACGTATGACGCTGAGGACGTACCTGCAGAAGTTCATTCATTGATTTCACACACGTATGAAGCACGTGTGTTCAAACTCGCCCGACTAACGCAACACCAAATTTCGCACCGTTGAGTTCATTGATTTTAATAGCCAGGCTATTAATTGAAGTTGTACAGTAAATGTTGCAGCTCTGAATGAAGGATGACGTCCAGCTGCATTATAGAAGTGTTCTTTGATTCACAGTGACTAAAAGTCATGATGTGTCGGCCTCTTCTGCTTCAGCTCTGACTGATTCTGTCTCTTGTTAGTGCCCCAGCTTTAAGAAAGTCCTGTACTAAATCTTTCTCATTTAATTAATGCTGATAATGTCTAAGGTTCATCACCTGTCTGAAACTGTGCATTTCTTTGTCATTCCTAGAGAAGGACAGGCTCCTCTCCTCCGTGGCCGGCTATGGGTCCCAGGACCATCTTGTGGGAGGAAACCCTCGTCCCACTACTCTGGTGGGCTCTGAGCCCCCTCAGAAGCAGGAGGAAGAGGAGGAGGAGGAGGAGGCCCTGAGGAGGAAGCTCAAGTACTTCTTCATGAGCCCTTGTGACAAGTATCACGCCAAGGGACGCAAGCCTTTCAAACTGGGTCTGCAGCTGCTCAAAATCATCATCGTGACCGTGCAGGTGGATTCAGCTTCACGCTATGATGTCATTACATCATTGTTTAGTTCTGTGCCCATTATGTCATAACTACTTTTCTGCCCGTTTGTTGAAGCTCGTTTGTTTTGTTCCTGCCTCTCAGCTGGTGCTGTTCGGACTGAGCAACCAGATGGTGGTGACGTTTAAAGAGGACAACACAGCTGCATTCAAGCACCTTTTCCTGAAGGGATACAAGGACGGCGCTCCTCAGGCCGTCCACACGCAGGAGGAGCTGTACAGCCGCATCCACTTCGCCATAGAGCAGGTAGCTTAATAATAACTACAAAGAGTCAATTCAGTGGACTGCTTTGAAGGGTAACACCAGTATTTTTTAACCTGGACCCTATTTCCCATGTTTCTTGCAGAGAAGATATGATCATCTGATACCTGATGAGTGCATCATTATAAGCTGCTCTCCTGTTTAGTTTTAATTCCCTGTCTCTCGTTTCCTCTTCAGTACATGGCTCTACCTCAGATCTCACTGGGGCGGTATGCATACGCATTGGGCGTCGGTTATAACGGAAGTGCGTTCTCACTCTGCCAGAGGTACTACAGGAGGGGCACCATTGATCCCGTCAACGACACCTTTGACATCGATCCCACTGTCGTCACCGGTAGGATGACCTTTATCTTTTTGATTTTCTTTCTTCTTAGAGTTTAATTCAGTGAATCACCAGAGGAAAATGTTGACATTGTACATTTCTGCAAACAACGGATCCGTAACATCTGTACGTTTTATATATATCATATCAACCTCTCAAAAGGCCATCCATTTTCATCTGTTTATCTGGGGCCGGGTCACGGGGGCAGCAGGCTGAGCACCCCAGACGTCCCTCTCCCCAGCAACACTTTGCAGCTCCTCCTGAGGGATCCCAAGGCGTTCCCAGGCCAGATGAGATATGTAAACCCTCCAGTGTGTTCTGGGTCTGCCCCGGGGCCTCCTACCAGTGGGAGCTGGCCAGGAGGCATCCTGATCAGATACTTGAACCACCTCAGCTGACCCCTTTTGATGCGAAGTAGCAGCGGTTCTACTCCGAGCTCCCTCTGGATGTCCGAGCTCCTCACCCTATCTCTAAGGCTGAGCCCAGACACCCTTCTGAGGAAGCTCATTTCAGCTGCTTGTATCCACGATCTCATTCTTTCGGTCACTACCCAGAGCTCATGACCATAGGTGAGGGTTGGGACATAAATGGACCAGTAAATCGAAAGCTTCACCTGCCAGCTCAGCTCCTTCTTCACCACAATGATCTGGCATAGCGCCTGCATCACTGCAGACGCCACATCAAACCGCCGATCCATCTCACGCTCCATTCTACCCACACTCTTGAACAAGACCCTGAGATACTTGAACTCCCTTGCTTGGGGCAGTAACTCTTTCCCAACCCAGAGGGGGCAATCCACCGGTTTCCGGCAGAGAACCATGGCCTCATACATGGAGGTGCTAACTCACACTCCGACTGCTTCACACTCGGCTGCAAACCGAGTCTGCTGTGATGAACCCAAACAGAACAACATCATCGGCAAAAAAGCAGAGACACAATTCCCAAAAGTGATGTAGCGTATGAGCTTTGTCAATGGGAGGTGGACGGATGGTGGATGGCTCAACACCCAGGCAAGACGCCTGTCAAGCTGCAGACCACAACAGACCACCAACAGCGGTTGTTTTTCTCCGAGACATCGCTGCATTTCTAGCTGTGGTAGTGCCATGAAAAGCGGCTTTTTTTTTATCAAGACAACGCAGTGTTTCTGGCTTGAATAGTGGCACTAAACACAAGTATTTTAAGCCAAAACATCTCCATTTTTCTAACCATAACAAGCTGTTTTAGTGCCTAAACCCAACCACACAGCTTCATTGAAAGGTAAAGTTTTAACGTATCTGCTACATAATAATGTACAAAGGTAATATGTCCGTGGTTTTGCAGAAACATACAATGTCAACATGTATTCTGGTGATTGGGATGTTAAATCCATCCCTGGGTATTTGACATTAGAACCTGCAGCCTCGTCATTTTCTCTGTGCCAGTATTTTCTCGGCCCTGAAGGAAATGACTGTGTCAGTGAGTCATTGTGTTGCTGCTCCACATATGTCAAGAGCTGCCCTGCAACAGTGTCCTACTTTCAAAAGCTCGAAATAGTTCCTATCACCAAAAACACAGCACATAGCTTTTTTTCCATAGACTTCAGTAGCAGCACACCGTTCCTGCCTTGGGAAAGGATTTATTTGCCTACACCTGCTGATTTGGCAAAGATGACTTTTGGTGGTTCGTGATAAATCGTGTGGAAAAAATAACATAAGACAAATAAAAGTCTCCAAGGGGACGAGGCTGCTTTAAAATGTTTTGAAGAAGTGTAAGGAGTGTGGTTGGGGCTCATGTGATGAAGACAAAGATGGTTTAAAAAATTCCCCATATGGTTTTTTTTAGTTCCTCTAATGCTATTTTCTGATTATTTTCCAGAGTGCATTGGACTGAACCCGCTGACCGACGGTTCAGCTCCAGGAAACAGTGACTACAAGAATTTCACTCTCAAGTTCTACAAGTCAGTTTGTTATTTTTAACATTGGAAATAATAAAGTGTTATTCTTCTGCTCACATTGAATTCCTCTCTGTCTCATATTTGTCTCCAGGCTGATCAATGTAACCATTGACTTCCAGCTGAAGGCCATCAACATTCAGACCATCATAAACAATGAGATCCCCGACTGCTACACTTTCGCCATCACGGTGAGCTGTGTCTTCTATTATTTATTTAAATAAACACCTGCATCACAGCATCGGTAGAAATCTGAGACCTGCTGCACAAAACACCTTAAGATTTCTCCTTAATATCTCCTTAGCAGAGGGACTTACACAGTTGCACAGAATCCCTTAAAGCAACACTTACCTTTCTGGAAATTTGTTGTTTGTTTAGGTTAAAATGCTATTAATAAGCTGATGGCACACTAAAATGTAAGCAATCATTGCAGCAATGACTGGCCAAGCGTCCTGTCTGTCTTCCTCACGTGGAGGCTTCCGACTTACGTAACTGCTCGCATAACCTGCCCCCGACCAGGAAGAGTGAGTCTGTGAGACAACAAATAAACTAGTAACAGGGATGCTTTTGGAAATAAACTTTTCTCCGTAACAGTGACAGACAAATGCGGACCACTGCTTCCACCTCCAGCTTCTCCAACAGGGAAATCAGTTGGCAAAAGAAAGAGTGTTGTAGAAAAAGCTAACACTAAGAAAGAACTCAATGCTGCAAGAGCCAAAACTCGGGTCAACATCGACTCTGCTTTCGAGCGATGGCAAAGACTGATGCAGCTTCATCCTGAGCTAAAAAGCGACGTAATGATCGCAGAGGTTATGCTGGACAGGTATTTTTAGTTTGCCTCTAATGTAACATAGGCATAATGTTATATATGACAACACAGCATCCAGTTGCTAACAGTTAGCCTACTGTAGCCTAACGTAGCCTGAGCCTCTGTATTATCTGCCTTGTTTGTTGCCAGTCACCAGTACTATCTAACGTTAGCGTTTACGTTATATAATAAAACTCATCAGTCATCACTAGCCATGTTTCCATCAGCCTGTTTAGATGCGCATCTAGAAGTATCGCATCGGAAAATTATGATGGAAACGCCAAAATTCTAATTAAAATCCCCTGATTCGTACAAACTAAAATACGCTCACTTTAGCCGGGCTTTGGTTGATTCGAAAAAATGTTGATTCGCAAAACGGGGGATGGAAACAGTTATGTTCGAATTAAGTCTGACGTAGCGCAACTCTTTCCATGGTGATATCCACACTCCGGGTCGGGAAGGCGGTAATGCATTTACAAGCTGGTTGCCAACCGCCAGAAAACGTAGAAGAAGAAGAATACGAGACTTGTTTTGTTCCCAGTTCTGCGGTAAATTCGCACAAGTTCGTAGTTTTCAGCAAAGTCCGTACATTTAATGGAAACACACAGGATTCGTATTTCTTTTAATGCACATTTCCCAATGATTTGAATCACTTTTGGATGGAAACATAGTTACTGACCCCGGATAAGTTTCAAAACTCAGGGATTGCGTTTGACTGTGCGGGACAGGTATCGTTATGTTTAGTTTGCTTCTAATATAACATATGACAACACAGCATCCAGTTGCTAACGGTTAGCCTACTGTAGCCTAACGTAGCCTGAGCCTCAGTATTATCTTCCTTGTTTGTTGCCAGTCATCAGTACTATCTAATGTTAGCGTTTGCGTTATATTATAAAGCTGTGCAGGACAGGTAACTTTTGTTTAGTTTGCTTCTAATATAACATTTAACGTTATATGACAACACAACATCCAGTTGCTAATGGCTAACCTTATCCTACTGTAGCGTAGCCTCTGAAACATTAACGTTATCTTCTCTATATACTATACTATACTCTTCTCTTGGCGTGTTACACTCGCTCTCCTCTTCCGTGTATCTAACGCTACCTTGCCAACGCTTACGTCTATCTTAGACGTAATGAGGACGTAATGGAGGAGGGGGGAGATGGGACTATGGAGGGAGGCGGGAGTTGTGGATGTTCAAATTTTTTCTAAGCGCTGTGTGAAATGCAAGAAAGGTAAGAGTTGCTTTAAAATGTTTCCTTTGTTAAGGAAAAACTCAGATTTTTCTCAGTAGCGTGGTTGTGACGTTAGTACTTTCTGAGTCAAATAGCTTTTTAGTAGCAAAGTTGATTAATTGAATGAGTAGCATGGTGTCATCCACAAACGTTACAAGCTATTTTTCCCAGGAAAACCTGTGAGGTGCAGTGGACCTTTTGTCTGCAGAGGTCTGGATAAAAGTAAGGATGATAAAACTGAGGATGAGTCATGTGAATGATGCCAGCGCCACACAGAGGAAACACTTCCATATGACATCACGTACTAATCCTTCAGTTTATTTTGCTTGCTGCTTATGCTATTGGCTTTTCTTGGCAGGACGCGCTTTACTCTGCCTCTTCTTGACTCGTCTCTCACGTGTCTCGCCCACAGACTGTATATTTAGTGGAATTGCAGAAACAGACACAACAAGGGCCGAGAAAAGAGCTGAGAGACAGAGGACAGTATGAAGATGGATGAGAGGAGACAGAGACACACTGATGTGACATGTTATTTACAGGACATGTTCATGTTCTAATGTCTCTAAAAAAAGAAGAAGTTTTCATTTAAGTCAATTTTTATAACTGTCTTGATTCATTTTGGTTTTTGACTGAAAAATATATTTTGGAATACTGTTTTTGAACTAGTGACACAAAGTAGGAAGAGGAGAGAGACAGACAGAGAGCAGCAAGCCGACTGATGATGTCATGTTATTCAAGGACATGTTCAAATGTCACAAAATCACAAAAAGAAGAAAGTTTTATTTTAAGTCTGTTTTTATACAATAAACAGCTCAACTGCACATTTTTGCTGCCTATTTGTTTTGCTGACAGTTTTTCTGATCACTGAGAAAACACAGATTTGACATAAAGTAAAAAAAATAAATAGATAAAAGTAGCTTTGCAAGTAGCAGCTACTTTTGCCATTTTCTTTTAGCTTTGCTTGCAACATTTCTCTGCAGATAGCTTCAGTGTAGTGAAACTTCATTTTCATGTGGAGTAACTGGACGCTTATCTCACTACATTTTCCATGCAGCTTGCCAACACTGCTTATAGTTAGATGGAAAAAAAATAGCAGAAGAAAAGAAGCCAAGAAAACCATATTGATCAGAGGAGGAAAAGATTAAACTTCTGGAGGAGTACAATCATAGAAAGCACAAACTACAAAGTAAAAGTGTATCCATGGGACTCTCCTTGTTGCAGAACACTACTCTCAGGGTGTTAGTTTTTTCATCTATCACCATAAACTCGATCATGTTGCAGTTAAGATAGAGTCAGAGGTACCTTTAAGTCTTGTTTTTTTAACCTTGCTTTGGTTGCTAAGGTCTTTTGTGCAACGGTAGGGATTCCTTAAGTATAAGACCAAGACAACGAGAGAACCATAAATACTTCAGTAAACATTTTCAGGAAACCGTAAGGAGAGGCCTTAAGGGTGTTTTGTGCAACAGATTTTATAATGAGGAAACCTTAACTAGGACTTCAAGGAAAATCTTAACTTAAGGTGTTTTGTGCAACTGGCCCTTGACCTTATTAATCACAACTCTGAACTTGAGGTTGAAATGAGCCAATCTTGGAGATAAGAGTTGGGATAAATTGATTCCCTGAGGTTGTATTTTTACTCTGGTTCTTGTTGCTGTCAGATCATCATGGATAACAAGGCGCACAGCGGCAAAGTCAAGATCAGTCTGCAGAACCAGGCCACAATAAAGGAGTGTAAAGACCCCAATGTTTCGGGACACGGTGAGTCAGCTGCAGCGGACACATGATTCGTGCAGATATTCACTCATCTGTCTCAACTGTTTCACCTGTGATTTTCTCAACCCCCTTTGATCCTTGTCACTTGACTCCTCTTCTGACAGCGGAGAGCTACGCTCGGGAGTTCTTAGATGTGCTGGTGGCGTTCGTTTGCCTGCTGTCCCTGCTGCTGTGTGGCCGCTCCATCCTCAGAGGCATCCTCCTGCAACACGTAAGATTGCAGACACACATTAATGTGTTTGTAGGGAAAAAAAGAGATGACTGGTTGCTCTCAAGCTGCAACCTCAGGGGCACGTCAGAGTTTTCTACGTTCTCTCAGGAAGCACTGTCTGACAGAAATCTTTTCATTTTAATCCAAACCATGACTTTTTTTCAAACCCTTAACCATGAAATCACTTTCTGGTAGAAAGCTCTCCAGGAACATTTCTCCCAGCTGCACCTCCAGGCCTGAAAAATGAAGCCAATGCAGAGGTGCTGCAGTTCCTCTAATGGCCACTAGAGGCTGGCTCCAAGAGTGAGTCAATCCCCACAGTCTCCCATGTTAAAATGCCAAACTTTTGATCTCTATAGCTAATTTCAACATTCATGAAAACTGTTTGGGTGATTAAATTTATATAACTCACCCGTTTAATGTTATTAACGCTTATAGTTATGCATAATTAACGACATGGTCACTTTGACTGATAGATGGTTGCTGTCCGTTGACAAGTAGCTACCACAGCAACAATTTTGGTTAGGAAAGGTAACCATGATGTAACCCCAGATTGGTACATACGTAGCTATTTCAGTGTGTTCTCAGTTCATGAAAGCTAATTGTAACGTTTTGGTCGCCTGAAAAAGTCTTGTTCGGCGTTTGGTTGAATTAAAAGACCCTCTGAGGAGCGACCACCACAGCCCAACGACACACAGTTTAATCGGTGACTCTAACTTGACTGTAGGTGTGAATGTGAGTGTGAATGGTTGTCTGTCTCTATTACCCTTTTTCCATCGTCACTTTTGGCAGCACGGAGGAAAGCCATGCCGCTCCAATTTGCATTTCCATCGTCAGTTTAGGTCAGGAGTAGATCCAAAAGCAGGGTCACCCTCCTTCAAGCAGGTAGAGGTGACATCTCGTGACCGCAGCCAACCCCCAGGACCCCCACTCTCTCCCCCAAACAAGCGTGTGTTATGGGGATTCTATGGGGATTGACTCGCTCTTGGAGCCAGCCTCAAGTGGCCAGTAGAGGAACTGCAGTTTTTGGCACTAACTCACTAGCTTCATTTTTGCATCAGATTTGATGTTATTGATCTAAATCGACTGTTTATACTTGACTTAATTGTTTATTTTGTCTCAGTGATACCAAATGTGTTTAGTATGATAATGTTGATGTGTTATTGTGTAGAGCTGCAACGATCAGTCAATTTATCAATTAGTGAACTGACTTAACTGAATTAATTGGCAACTATCTTGAACATCAATATTGTTTAAGTACATTTTCAGGCTTTTTGAATGTGAGAATTTACTGCTTTTCTGTGTTGACAGTGATATTAAACTAAATAGCTTTGGCTTTTTGGACTGATGGCCGAATAAAACAAATCACTGGAAGATGTCTCCATTGACCAAGAGAAATTTGAAACTGTTTTTGGACATTTTATTGACAAAGCGATTATACGAGAAGATTAATTGATAACAGAAATAATCGTTAGCTGCAGCTCTATTGTGTTTGCTATTGTATTGTTTTACAGTGGATAAAATTATTATTAATTAACGAATTTGCCTGTATGGGATAATGAAGTTTATCTGAATCTGAATCCTCCTCATCATCCTCTCCCTGAACAGGAGTATGTGCAGCTTTTCAAACACAGACTTGGCCGCAGCGTGAGCTGGGGAGACAGGATGGAGTTCATCAACGGCTGGTACATCCTGCTCATCATCAGCGACATGTTCACCATCATCGGCAGTTTCATCAAAATTGGGATCGAGTCCAAGGTTAGTTGTGACAGACAAATGACCATCTCTGTTTTGTCAGCTCTGCGGCACAGTTCTCAGTTTCTGGTAACTAATGACGTCACTGTTGTGATGCAGACTTTGTCATCGTATGACATGTGTGGGATCCTGCTGGGAACCTCCACTCTGCTGGTGTGGGTAGGAGTCATCCGTTACCTCAGCTTCTTCCAGAAATACAACGTGGGTGCAACACACACACACACACACACATAATTAAAATCCTCTTTCTCTTCTCTTTCTTTGAGGAATTAATATATTCCGGTCTCTCTTTGTCTCACAGATCTTGATTGTGACTCTCAGAGCTGCTTTTCCAAACGTTATCCGCTTCTGCTGCTGTGCAGCTGCCATTTATATGGGATACTGCTTCTGTGGATGGATCGTGCTGGGGCCCTATCATACCAAGGTACTGTACACACACGCCGCAGTGTCTCAGCAAGCATGAGTCATTCAGACAGCCAGTCGCCCTGGCCTAATTATCTTAAAATGCCCTCCAGCTTCATATCATCTCTGTAGCTGTGTATAATTAATGAGAGATAAAATTGACATTTATTAAACATGAATCGTGATAACATTTTGTGGGTGGATGGTTGTGGCTTGCAGTGTTTTTGTTAATGTGTAAAAGAGCAATCAAACTTACAGCAACTAGTAAAACTTCATGTGTGAAAAAAAACGATGAAAAGTTTTGTTTTAAAAACAAACAAACAAGGAAATGACCTGGAAAGAGTGAAAGAGAATAATTATGTAACATAATTTTAAAATGTAATAATAATAAATATAAATACACCTTTTCCCTAGTTTTTTTTTTTTTAATTCTAAATCTATCTTTTTTTTGCAACTTGTGGGAAATAAATAAAATAAGATGACCCAAAACAATTGCAAGAAATAAGGAAAAAGAGAAATTTAAAAACAAGAAAATGAGTAAAATTGAAATTAAAACAAAACAATTTTGTTTTAAAAGCAAACAAACAAAGAAATGACTCGGAAATAGGGCTAAAAAAAATAGAATAATTCTGTAACATAATTTTAAAATGTAAAAATAGTAATTATAAATAAACCCTTTCCCTAGTTTTTTTTAAAAATAATTTTCTAAATCCTTTTTTTTCTTTTTTTGCAATTTGTGAGACATAAATAAAATAAGACAACTCCAAAGATTTGCAAGAAATTAGTAAAAAGAAATTTAAAAACAAGAAAAATAGTAAAAATAAAATAAAAACCATACAATTTTGCTTTAAAAGCTTTATAAAAGTTCTGTAAAATAATTTTAAAATGTAATAAGAATAATTATGAATATACTTTTTCCTTAGTTTAAATTTTTTTTGTAAATCTATGCATAAATAAATCTCTTTTTAAAAATCTTGCATTTTTTAATGCAAGAGAAAAAGAGAAATTAGTAAAAAAAAAAAAAAGTTTTGTTTTAAAAGCAAACAAACAAAAATTATGATGTTATATTATAATAATTCTGCAACATAATTTTGAATGTAATAATAATTATTATTATAAATGTATTTTTTCTGTAGTTTTTTTTTTTCCAATAATTTTCAATTTTTTATTTTATTTTATTCTTTTTCTGTTGTTGTTGTTTTTTGTTTTTTGCAATTTGTGGGATATTCCTTACCCTCATTGCTTTTTTTCATGTTTTTGAAAGAAATGGCACCAATTTGCTCAGGGTTTAAAGATTTAAATACCTGTGAAAAGTGTCAGAAAGCAGCACAAGACGAATGCATCGCCACAAATTACAGGGGTGCACTCTTTATGTGTGTTGTGTTGTTTGTGTCCAGTTTCGCTCCCTGGCCATGGTGTCAGAGTGCCTGTTTTCTCTCATCAATGGAGACGACATGTTTGTGACGTTCGCTGAGATGGAGCAGAGCGGCACGATGGTGTGGATCTTCAGCCAGGTCTACCTGTACACCTTCATCTCCCTCTTCATCTACATGGTGCTGTCCCTCTTCATCGCACTCATCACCGGAGCCTACGACACCATCATGGTACGCTTTAATTTATCTGTAAGCACTTGATGAACTGCTTCGTCTCTCTCACGGGCTTCATCAGATACACTCTGGCTCTTGTTGGGTCTGAATTAAGAAAAATCCCTTTATTTTAGTGCACCGTACTCAAGTATCATTTGTTTGCCACTGAGCTGATTTCTGCAATAATCCAAAATCCAATGGAAAAATCACGTTGGCTTTTTGACAAGGGGAAACCAGGGTGATGCTAACTTCCACATTGGCCTACAAAGAAACATCTTCCCTGTAGCAGTCTGTGATCTCTTGGTTATAAATAAAGGTTGAATTAATGACTAAATTTAGCTGCCTTCTTGTTTCTGAGAATTTTTAGCCCTGCCAGCAGCTGTCATCAGTTCAAATTACACTCTGCACAGAGACATGGTGCGGTTGTGAGATAAGTACGTGTGTAGTAAATGTTCATCTCTATGTTGTCTTCCTACAGGCCCAAACACAGGAGCAGGTACGAGTCAGCGACCTGTACACGTTCATTGCAGAGTGCACGGACACACCCAGCTCCGGCAAGTTCCGCGGGCCTGAGGGGTCATCGTGCTCCTTCCTCTGCTGCTTTGACTGTTGAGGAGGAGGAGAAAGCACAGAGGGAGTACAGAGGGAGTAAGCAGTGTACGGGTGTGTGTGTTTTTTCCCTCTCTTTAAAGCACTGTATTTCCACTCTGGTGACAGCTGTCTGAAATTGCGCTCCTTCCTCCAAACTCCCTGCGGGGACGATAAACGCCTTGAGAGTGCACAGACTGACCTTGGGCCACGCTGTCCGCGTTTGAATTTTGCATTTAGATTTGTACTGGAACGATTGAACGCTCTGCACAGTCACAAGCCCAATTACCTGCTTCAGCTTTTGTACTGTATGAATAATTTATCATCTCTCTGAAATGTCAGTTTGTTACAGGCTCTGACGACTGGACGCATAATGCCAGTAAACATATTCATTGCTGTAGACTGGACACAGGGTCCGCTAAGTAAAATGGACGCACATTTTCACTTGAATGATCCACTGAACACACACAGGGTTTTATTATCATTTTAGTATCCACGTGGCTGCCTTGGTGACAGGATGTTTGCCCTCTTGATTATGTAAATATGTGTATATCCTCTGATATTTTATAGCACAGGAACAATAGGCACAAGAGACGGCTAAGCAGGCTGAAAAAAAGGGATCATTAACTGCCGCGTGTACGCTTTAGCTTCTGTAACGTTTTCAGTCGAGGCTCTGCTCGTATTTTCATTCTTTGCTTTGTTCATGTCCTCCTCCGGCTGCACGAGGAAGGACGAGCCCTGCAGCCAACCAGTTAGTCATCAATATGTATGAACTGTTTGAGCCAGGTGACTAATGCACCAAGAGACGCAGCCTCTTTACGGTTTGGTTTAAAGTGCTCCATGCAAGGTTGTATAATTATATTCCTGTAGAAAATCAGGACTCAAACAGCAGAGTGTGGTGAAGAAGGAAACAGTGGAGGGCAAAAAAAGGCTTTAAGTCTCTAAACCTTTATGTTATGTGGATTATTAGTCATAGTCTGAGTCGTTACATAAAACCTAAAAACACCTTTTGATCCTCTGCTTGGACGATCTAGGCAGGGAAAACACATCTACAAAAAAAAAAGTTCTTGATTCTTCTCCAGTTGTCCGTTTTCAAATTGCAGCCCAACCACTCTTTTTCTTTTGCTCAGTAGCAGCAGGATAGTTTTATATCAGTTGCTGGTTTGCCACAGTTTGTTTTAGTAGTGTTTTTCATACTCACTTAAGTTTTTTGAATGAATTCTTTTTGCCTCTGCCATTGTTTTGTTTCAAGATTCACACCAGCAGTGGTGTTTTTTAGTTCAGTCCGGATGTTTATGAGCACCACAAGACAGCATGTGCTCATACTTGAGATAATAAGGCTTAAGCCAGGTGTTCTCACGCTGGGACTCCATTGTCACAGACGAACTAAGCCAAATTAAAGCCACATTCATGAAACTTGTTTAACCCAAATGTTATAGTTGAACTAGTCCACGTTAAGGCCTAACCAGCCCTGAGACTTTTTATGCACTCATTGAATAAATTTCTCTCAAATTTTGGTCACAAAATTGGTTAAAATCCATGTTAGTGAGCACTTCTCCTTTTTTCCAAGATAACCCATCCACCTGACAGTTGTGGCATATCAACATACTGATTAAACAGCATCGTTACTACACAGGTGTGCCTCAGGATGGTCACAGGAAATGCTCACAAGTTCTCATTAACAAGGATTAAACTAATTTGTGACAAATGCTGTGTCTCAAATCGTGTACATCCGTCAGTACACTTCTATGCAGTATACTATGTGCACTATGTACTTATTGGTGTAGTGCGAAAATTTCGACAGGGTAGTGTTGTCTCAAACCAAACACGGCCGTTGTGCGCTCAGCGGAAATGATGACCGCAGCTGTTAGCTAGTCAGCAAACTAGCATTGGCATTTGCGTTATCGTTCACGGTACCAAATCATTACAGCCTACTAAATTAACCCAATAAACACACTGCTGGCTTATACCTGACAACAGTATAGAGGTGCTTAGTGCAAAAAACACATGTATTTGTACAGTGCAGCGACGTTCACGGTCGCACAGTTTTTGGACGCCATTTCCAGTTTGAAAAGTGGCCCCTCCCCTTCTCCTACGTAGCCAAGATGGCGACCATTGAGGGCGAGAAGTGTCCATAGTTCCACACTCAACTTCTTGACCGTTTTGAGTGCACCATCCGGGTACTCATAGTGCACTGCATTTTTACATATTTCTCAGTGTGAACGCACTTATGCACTCAAAATATTAAGTGTAAGTACAAAAGTACACGATTTGAGACACAGTGCAGATTTTGAGAGACGTAAGTGTTTTGTGTGCATATAAAGTCCTAGATCTTTTACTTAAACCTGTGAAAAATGGGAGTGAAAACAAAAAAAGTTGCGTTTAAATTTTTGTTCAGTGTATTTTAAAAATTCTTTAATTAAAATACATGTAAATGTGTGGTATAATTATTGGTGGAATAAGTATTCAGATCGTTTACTGATGTAAAAGTACAAATACCACCATTTAAAAATACTGTTACAAGTGTTTAAGATCTGACTAAATCAAAGTAAGTACGTATAAACATTTAAATACATTTAAAGTACCAAAAGTACTGCAAAATGGCTCATTTCAGAAATATACATGTATTTTTTATGACTGGAAAATAATTATTGATGCATTCATGTTACAGCAGCTTTATATTCTGCTGTGTCGCTTAATCTTAAATAATTTTATTTATTTAATTTATACCTGAATTATATATTGTGTTAATCTTAATCTGCAAAGTAACTAAATGTAGTGGAGTAAAAAGTACAATATTTGCCTCCACAATGTAGTTGAGTAGAGTTAGAAAGGATGTAATTGTATTTTTATTCCTTCATTCATTTTCCGTACCTGCTTATCCTGGTGGGGGTTGTGGGGAGCTGGAGCCTATCCCAGCTGACTTTGGGAGAGAGGCAGGGTACACCCTTGACAGTTTAGAGTCACCAGTTAACCTGCATGTCTTTGGACTGTGGGGGGAAGCTGGAGCACCTGGAGAAAACTAATGCTGTCATGGGGAGAACATGCAGACTCTGCACAGAGGGGCTCCCCCACCACAGAGTTCGAACCAGCAACCCTCTTGCTGTGAGGCAACAATGCTAGCCACTGTACCGTTTCTTCCTCTCTGTCATAACTTCTCGTTGCAAGTTTCCAGCAGCGCAGACGCATGAGTTTGTTTGATGTGACTGTTTTGCGACTCTCAGAAAAAAACATGCCGACATCAACAAGATATCTGTGAGCTCAGAGGCATTCTGATGGATCGGAAAATTTGGAACCAGTTCTCAACTGGAACTGGTTTTCCATTCCCATCCCTGCTGATTAAGCACGAAATATATGCTTCATTTGCAGAGCATCTTTGTAATTAAATCCACACCTGTGCTATGGAAACCGGTTTAGATTCACGCTGTTTGTGTTCCGGTCTCCTGCAGGCCTCCTAAAGAGCATGTTTCTTAGGTAAACTCAGCTGTAGACCTCTTGGACCGTCTTGTTTTGGTAGGATGTAATAGATACTTTAGAACTTAATAATTTTAATGGTAATATTTCAGAAAGTCAGATGCCTGTTTTACGTCAGTAGTTACTGCTTTGGCTGTGTAGGGTCGTTTATAGGCCGCTGTCTGTATTTTATACAACATGTCAGACTCTGACATTGAAGCCATGTGTGAAGGATTAATGACTTTTTTTTTTTTTTTATCTGTGAACAAGCGAGGTCATCTCTACAAACCAGCAGCTCTTCATTCAGCCTTTTCTGAAATATTCAGAATATGTCATTATAGAAACTTACTGAAGCAGTAATGTCATTCCAGCGGGCTGCGTGGAGGCTCATGAAGGGCACTGTTCAGAGGACGAGGGACGTTCACTGCACAAAATGTCTGTCAGGACTAAAGGGTACTTTTTTATTATTTTGCTGTCATGCTAACTTGAATGAGTTAATATTGTTTACAGTCGTGTTTTCTATTAATGAATGTTTATTGACACTTATTTGCACGTTTTGAAGACTGATGTACAGCTTCACTTGATTTTAACGTGTCACATAGGCACTATATATGTACTGTAATACATCTGTTGGCATTCCCCTGACACTTATGATTCAATGATGACTGATTTTCTTTACATTTGTTGTCTTATATTCTGTTTGCTGTCTGCACTACCACTTTTTGAGAGGAAACAAGTTAAAGGGAGTCTCAGTTTCTGTATGGAGGAATTTGTACAGGTTTTTACCCTCAAGTACTGAATCTTTTCTGTGAGGATGCTACCTTCTGAATGGAAGTACATGTCGGTCAAATAAACTGGAAAAATATGCTGAGATTAATAACCCAGGCCATTGTTACGTTTTCTGTCCCTCGGCAGACACACTGTGTGTCCATTTTAAAGGTCCCATATTCTCCTGGTTTTCATTTTCGTACTTGCATTTGAGGATAGGGGTGGATGATATGGCCCTAAAATAAAATCACAATATTTCGGGTTTTTTTTGCGATAATGATACTCTTGACAAATAAGTTAAAAAATGATTTTTTTTTTAAATCAATTTAAGAACTTAAAAAGGTGTGCTCTGCAGTGTACGCTCTGTGATAGGCTGCTGTTGAAGATGATAAAAAGAAAAGCTTGCATTGCATGAAGCTGCTTTTAGTGTGTTGTGGTAGTCTGACACCACTAGAGGGAGAGAGTAGGCTCTGTCTGCAGCCTAAAACCAACCAATCATAGGAAGTCAATACCAGCCAATAAAGAAATAACACAGTCGGAAGATAAAACACAGGCACTTTAAAGAGAGGAGGGCTGAACACTAAGAAAGGGAGTGGTTTGTTGCCTTCATTAAAGATAAATAATGCTGACTCTGTAAGTAAAGTGCTTAACCTTCAAGTCTACCATTACCGCGAACTACCTCTGAGCATAAACGGACGTGGAGTCAGGGTCTGTGCCAGCCAGAGAAAACTGCACTGAAGATGCAGATGGACAGAAATGAGAGAGAATATGGGGACGGACAGAGATCAAGGCAGATATGTGCACACTCACTCCTCTGAGTGCAGAGGAGTGGTGTACAGTAGCTGTCCAATATCCTTAGTACCTGCATGCATTATTTACTCAAGGATGCTACCAGGGCTGAGACGAAGCACTTAGAATCAGACTGACAGGAACTGGCCAGCCTTCAGGGTAAAGATGATTAAACAGTCCCATGGAGAAAACATACAGTCGGGCCGAGGCCTGCAGCTGGTTTCCCTGTCGAGTTAACTGCATGCGCATGGCAGCTCAGAAACACATAATTGAGGAAATGACTGGAATAAAAACCAGAAGAACCTGAAACCAGAGGAGGTCCTTTATCTGCATTAAGATCATTATATTCTCTATAGAATAGATAGTAAGTGCCTGGCTCATACACTGCAGAAGAACATACATGATATATTAATAATGGTCTTTTATTTATTTATGTATCATTTTATTTCTAAATGTATTGTTTGTTTCAAATATAATCTCTCGTCCTTGTTTTCATTCAGACTAGTTAGATTAGACAATTTATGTGTTTCAATTTTTGTTAGATGGCTATGAAAAAAGAACCATAAAATAACTACACATTCAGAGAGGTAAAGGCAAAAATAAAGTAACATAAGATGAAACAAACTAAACTTAAATAAAATAAAATAAATTTAAAAAATGCTAGTAGCAGTTTGGCTTCACACAATTGCACACGTTGCAGTTACATATTTGGACACTAAAGAGAATAGGGTAATGAAAACTAGGCTAAAATTGTTGTATTTTTTTAGACATTTGTGTGAAATTTAGTTATAATTTGCATATGAATTCTTGAGTTATGGCCAAAAACATGCTTTTTGAGGTCACAGTAACCTTGACCTTTGACCACCAAAATCTAATCAATTCATCATCAAGCCCAAGTGGACGCTTGTGCCAAATTTGAAGAAATTCCCTCAAGGTATTCTTGAGATGTGCTGTTAAAAAGAATGAGACAGATGCAAGGTCAGAATGACCTTGACCTTTGACCACCAAATTCTAATCAGATTATCACTGAGTCCAAGAGACTTTTGTGGCAAATTTGAGGAGGGCCCCATAAGGCCCTCTTGAGATTTCACGTTTACAAGAATGGGATGGATGCAAGGTCACAATTTGAGGAAATTCCCCCACGCCTTCTTGAGATATCACATTCACTAGAATGAGACAGTTGCAAGGTCACAATTGCCTTGACCTTTGGCCACCAAAATCAAAAAATATAATGCAAAATTTAAAGAAATTACCTCAAGGTGTTATCAAGTTCACAAACATGAGATGGACCAGGTCACACTGACCTTAATGTTTGACCACGGAATTCTAATTAGTTCATCATTGAGTTCAAGTGGACGTTTGTGCCACATTTGAAGAAATGCCCTCAAGGTGTTCTTGAGATGATGTTCACAGGAATGGAATGCACCAGGTCACAGTGACCTTGCCCGTTGACCTTTTACCACCAAAATCTAAGCTTGGGCACAATTTGAGGAAATTCCCTCCGGGCCTTCTTGAAATATTGCATTCATTAGAATGAGACAGATGCAAGGTCACAATGACCTTGACCTTTGACTGTCTAAATCTAACATAATGACAAATTTAAAGGAATTCCCTCAAAGTGTTATAGAGGTATGAAGTTTACAAGAATTAGACAGACCAGATCACAGTAACTTTGACCTTTGACCACCAAAATCTGAGCAGTTCATCACTGAGTCCAAGTGGACATTTGTGCCACATTTGAAGAAATACCTTCAAGGTGTTCTTGAGATGATGTTCAGAGGAATGGAATGCACCAGGTCACAGTGACCTTGCCTGTTGACCTTTTACCACCAAAATCTAATCAGTTCATCCTTGACTCATCAAGTGGATGTTTGTGCTGAATTTGAAGAAATTCCTGCAGGGTGTTTTTTGAGATAACAGGCTGACGAGAATGGGACAGACGGGCGGATGGATGGAAAACATAATGCGTCT